TCAATTTCAGCTTATATACTTTAGCTTTTATTTATAATTTTTACTCAGATATACCTATCTATGTATGTACATACATACGTATGTATATGCATACTTCTTTTCATAAGAACCTACGCCAGTGCTGCCAATCGCAGTTGCAGTCTGCAGTGCATGGGTTGCACTTTGTGCCATTTGCGCAACTTCTCTATATTCTATAAGTACATATGTATGTATGTATATGACAAATAGGTGTGTGTGCATATTTCGCCAACAAAGTCAAATTCTGACGCACGTATACATACATGCATATATATTTTTCGATATGCTTTGAAATTCAAACAATGAGCCCCACATTCGATTTACATTTATTGTGCATTCGTTTTCGTTTTATTGCTTCCCCCTTTTATTTTATTCTAACTTGACGCTCTGCCCCTGCCTGTCTGCCTGCCTGCCTGCCTGTTGCCGAGCTGGCTAAAAATAGTTGGCCCGCAAGCCAAATCCATACACACATACATACATAGATGTACTATTTACGTCATCCAAGAAGCAGCTCCCAGTACGGAAACGTCACAAATTCGCGCTGGATTAGAAATGAATGGTAATTGCGAGCATTAAATACACAATCGATTCAATCAACAATTTCGAATGTCTTTCCAAAATCCACTAACCCAAAAATTATGGATTAGAGATCTCCAAATGCCTCCGAATCGTATTCAAAACTGATTCACAATCAGAAATCAGTCAGAAATAATTTATAAATAAAGCTTAACTAAACCAACATGGCTTATTTCACTTGATTCCAAAAGTCCTTAATTTCGAACCGGGCAACGTTACTAGCTGTATATAGCATTAAGACAAATCCATATAAATGTTCAAAAAGTTAAAAAAAAAAAAAATGAAGCTCTTTATTGGTTTGGCCTTAAAAAATATTAAAGAGCCCAATATTATGTGGCAAATTGGAAGGAATATACTAACTAATGTATGCAGAAATCAGAAATTTACACTGAAATCGTAATAGCGCCAACAAAGCGTGATATGAAGTGATGAGACGGCATTTCGCGAATCAGCAACGGTTAGAGATCCAAAACCAAACAAACACCAAATCACTTTCGATATAATTCGGCACAAATCGATAGGTTATCGTTCAATATTACACAACACTGGTCGCTTTGATTTCCGTGTGGAAACTGATTGTGAAGTATGAGGTGATTTTCTGATGTTGGTTCATGAAAACAGATTATTTCCGGTATGGTAAGTCTGTCGAAACAGATGGTTGCTACTAAATATTTCTACAGCATTTCTCAAAAGTGTTCAAAGCAGCGAACCAAATTATTTGATTAAATATGTATTTTCTGCAATACTATGCTGTTCATACTATGCTCCTCCTACGAAATTTATGTTAAATAATTATATTAAATATAAAATATAAATTTTAAGGATATCAGGAAATCCCAGCCAATTTAAAGTCTATCTTTATCTTCCACTTTATTTCCCTCCCTCCAACCACTTCCTCTCTGCAACTGCTCACAGCTTCGCTGTTAATGTTAAACGACGATCGTAATGTATGTTATGTGTCTGTTACATACTAGATATGTTAAATACATAACATACACATACATATATATGTATAGTGTTCATACATTTCCATCTCTATATTTAGTTAGGGCATTTGTGCTTGGCTTTGATTTTCTTCTTATACCAATTCCACACCAACAATAACAACTGCAACAGCTGCAAATTAGCGTGAAAAACTATTGCTCTCAAAAAATATCGAAAGAATAATAATACAAATATGTACTTGTATGTATGTAGGCAAGTAGTAATGTGAACGAGTAAGAGAAAAAGGTAGTAATAAGCACATCGCTTTTCAATTCTTCTTCGTTTTCACGCTTATACTCGTATGTGCACTTGATTGTATATATGTACATATGTATCTATACATAGTATATGTGCTTTACTCACAAGCAGGCAATGGTTTGACTTTAAATTTAGGGTGTTCTGCAATCCGCTCTTCTTGATAGAGCAATTCAAGTACCAAATTAAATTTATGAAACGAGAAAAAGATAAAAATTTACATTTATAACAGTCATTCGAAATATTAATTAATAACATTTGTAAAGCAGCTCTCAGATACCATATAAAACGAAATTATATTTGGAAAAGTTGCATTTGAATCATTAACATTATTTAAAAAGAATACTTTAAGTATCTTTAATTCTTGAGTTCTTTTGCTTAACAAATCGCTTTAAAAATAATTCAGAAGTTTAAAGAAACAGCGATTTGCGGAATATCTGATGAAAGCATAGGTTCGTTGTGAAAATGCAGAACACCCCTGAATGTTGTTGTTGTATTTTGGGTTTTCATTTTTTAGGTCAGCACTTGGCAAACTCGCCTACACACACATGCATACAAACGTCATATATTTTCACTTTTTCTTGCGGCGCTATTATGGGGACGGTAGTTGTTTTGTTGTTGTTGCTGCTGCTCTGCTGGTATCGCCCTCTGCTGCGCAATTTTGGACAACTATCAGCTGATTGCAAGTGATTCGTGATAATTTGTAGGCGTATGTATGAACGCCCACAATTTTATATTCGTGTATAATGTGTCTATATACATATGTATGTACATACATTACAGTTCTTAGTTTTATTTCTGTATAAGCATCTCGTAAAATGTTACTGTGCATCTGCTTGCTTCTTTGTTTCAAACCATTTTGCCATACATACATACATACATTCATATGTATGTATGTACATGATGCATTCATTTCGCAGCTCCCATTATATGGCAATTTACTAATTTACAATTACAGCCTTACATTTGCACTTGCTGCGTCAAAAATAGAACAGCTGCTGTAATCAGTGGCAGAGGCAGCGACGTACAATTTCGTTGATGCTAAATGACGTTGCGCTGCTGCTGGTGGTGCGACGTCGACGCTGTGCTCAATTGAAAGCATCGTTGCAAATTGTTGCCGTGTGCTACATTTTTTATTTTTTGGCATGCGTCCTTGACCCAAAAGTTGCCAACCCATACACAACTTATGTACACGAACATATACATATATGTATGTTACTTAACAGCGCACCTACCTCCTTACTTCCCTCTCATAACTGCCATCTTAATAGCAAAATGTCAAGGTCAACTTTACAACTCCTGCCCTATCTACATTTAGCTGTTAATGTTAATTGACGATCCTTATGTACTATGTTATGTGTCTGTTAAATACAAAGTTGTACTGTGCATGTTTCTATAATTTCTTCCTGAGCTGCCGCTGCTCTCAGCTGTTTGTAATTTCGGTTCCCGCATTGACGTTCTTGAATTTTATTTGTGTAATATTTTTCATACGAATTCATGTGTGTGTGGGTACCGACATTTCGCTATATTGCATGTACATATGTGTACATATGCATGTATATACATATGTATATATCTATCTATATACATATGTATGTATGTATATGTATAAAAATGGAAGTATGTATGTATGTATATACATATGTATGTACATATATTCCCTTGACACTCCGGAAGCGCTCAACCGATTTTGATCAAATTTTGTGGCAATATTAAAAATAGTCCAGTCAGTGCAATTGTAAAGTTTCCTGCCGATTGTTCAAAGCGATCATCCGTCGTTTTCAGGCTTTTTTCTGCTCATTTTCATTTGTTTGACAGTGACTTTGTACTTTGTTTGTCAATGTTGTTTGTTAGAAACGGAACAATAATGGCACTCTTCTTGGCTTCCGCAAATCCACATCTCAATACATGAAACACAAACAGACGATGGATATCCTTTGTCCAGACGAAGAAAGGTGGACGACGGTGGGTCTCAACTATAATCAAGGATCTAATCGATATGTACATGTAGAGAAGTAATAATTTGAATAGTGGCCGGTGCTTTCAGTGTATTTCAATTTTCCGTATGTTGTTATAGCACACTGAAGGACATAATCAGAAAATGTGAACAAACAAAAATAAATCGAATTATTTTCTTTAAAAGCAGCAAGTATTTTCATTTTTACACCTTACAAATTTTAATTCCCTGAAGTCCATAGGGTGTCCCAAAATATTTCAAATCAGTCAGATATAAACAGTTGACTGAAGAATACATATACATATGTATGTATGTATGTATGTCAATACACATACATATATGTACATACATATGTATGTATACACACTTAAATACATAGTAGCGAATTAATCGCAGCAGGCATTGCATTTGGAATCGTCCAGAAATTATTTCTTCTTCTGTCAACATAGTTTGTAAATTTTTTAGTGTACTACCTGCCATTGGAACGTAGTGTGCTGAGCTAGCGAGTCTAACAATTTAGAAAACCTTGTCGCGTGTGATTTACTTTTAAGTCGTTCTTTGGCGCTCGCAATTCATATGTTTGTATATTAAATAACGGAAAAGGACAACGGTAAATTCAGCTGTAATTTATTCTTCCATTTCATTTCTGCGCCGTTTCACTCGTCTTGCCTTGCTCTCCTGTCCTTTTAATCTTGTCAGCTGATTGCATTACATTGATTGGTTTTTAAATGCGCCGACGTCGACGTTATCGCTGACGTCGACGTCGACGTCAACAGCAATGCATCGCTACCTGTTGTGCGGGTGCTGCAGTGGCAGCAACGCCGGCAGCGGCAGCAGCTGTTGTCGCTACTGCTGTTTTTCCTCATGCTGTGCTGTTGTTGTAGTTCCTTGCAGCCCACAATATAATTTTGCTCACAACCTAGCTTCCTTTTAACCTTGCCTTTAATGCCAACGAAGTATTTATGTATATGTGTGTATGTGTGTACTTCCATACTATACATACAACACATCCCACGTCCACTTTTCTTGCCTGTTGTCTGTCACTGTCAGTGGAAGGGAATAAAAGTAGAAGTGAAAAATAAGTGCAACGGTAGTCAGGTATAAGGGATTAAAGAGGAGAAGAGAAAATCAGTAAAGGAAAAACAGAATGCAAATAAACGGAACTGAAACTAATCAGCTGTTTTCTTCTTTTATTTCATTTCTTTTGCAGACTGCTTCAAAGGAACAACAACAAAATCTAAAAGCCACAAGGAAAAAATTTATTTTTCATAAAAATAAAAGGAGAAAGGAACGGAAGACTAAAAAGCAATTACAAATAACACAAAATATTTATTATAAACTCAACAAAAATTTAATTAAAAAAGTATTTTTGGCGTAAAACACAAAAATATATTACACCAACATTAACAACAACAAACACACACAACAGTTACAACCAAACTCACTTTAAAGCCTTATATACAAAAAAATCAACAACCACACTAGCGAATAATTTACACAAACAACAAATTGCATAGGAAAGCCAGACGAAAAAGAAGGAGTACATAATAGCAAGTTGACAAGTAAGATCAAGCAAACAAATAGCAAGAAAATTAGAAATAAGAAGAACATGGCCGAGGAACAGTAAGTTTGCTTTTATTAACAACAACACCAACAACAACAGAAAACTTGCAACGCAACACGAACAACACAGCAATTACACACACACCATTTTAGTAGTCAGCTTTTTAAAATACTATATAACTTAATAAGCCTACATATAACACCTACAGTAGTGACCTGCCTAGTGACTTCGAGTTGCAGCAGCTGTTGAAGAAATCGCTGGCCGAATACACCATTAATAACATCGTCACCCGAGACGGGCTCAGTTCGGACTCTGAAAACGACAACGACGACGTCGACGTTGACGCCCTTGCAGAAGCATATTTCCAGTCACATTCGCGGCAGCAGCATCAGACAGAGCAGCGGCAGCAACCACAACCGCAGCAGGCGCAACCACAGTTAACATTTACTGTTAACGACGAAGACATTGAAAATTTGAATCCAAATTTCGCTGTTAGGGCCGAAGACGACCAAAATTTACAGCCAGCATTCACAGTTAAGGCCAACAACGAGAACAGTGACAGCGACAACAACAATAACAATAACAAGAACAACAACAACGCAAAAACTGCAACTGAGTTGGTCGTCGATCAGGACACCACCAACAACAACAACTACACTCAGCCCAAAGATCAAGCTCAACGCAGAGTTGAGGATTTGCAATTTAAGGTTTCCGGATCTATCGTTACCAACGCTACTAAGCATCAACGTAAGAATCCGATAACAATTAATACACTACATCGTCCGCAAATTAAGGGTAATCGTGGCATGGCAACATTGCTGCAACAGCAGCAGGAACAAATACAAAGACAAATAACAGCTGCAGCTAAGAGCGAACCAGAAGTGCCGGCATCGTCAACATATGTCTCACCAAGTGCTCGACTACTTGCCCATATAACCCGTGCTGAGGCAGCCCAATTAGCTTTAAAAGCATCGGCACCGAAACCGCCATCAACTATCCTTACAGTCTCGCCGACAATATTCACCAAAGCTCGTCCCGGATACCCAAATCTGCCGCCGGAACGTATACAGCTCGAGGAGCATCAGCTGAAGCAGCTGCAGCCGTATATTGTGGTTAGACCACCGCTCCGTACCGTCGCTAGCAATCCGCCGGTAGCCAAACCCAATGCCAATGCATCCGCTGCCAACAGTGGCCGCGTTCTCACATTCAGCCAGTATCAGGCCTTAATACAACAGCAGCAACAACTTAAGGTAATATAATCCGATCCGCACGAATATGTGTTTGGGGAAGAGGCAGCTAAACTCGAATTTCCCATTTTGTGGAAATGTTCAAATTTAACCACACAGGAATAGACCTACAATTTTGAAGTCACTTATAAGGATTCTTGAGTTTCAAAACACTATTTCACAGTCAAAAAAAAAAAACACTGTTTGAATATTATAAAGTATAATTGAATTGAATTAAAATTGAAAACATGAACAGACCTATAAGATGTCGGTAATCATTAAGATTTTAGAGTTCCTCAACAATATCGCAGAGTTGAACAGCAAGGCAACAGAAAAGGCATGTTAATTTATTTAACATTTCTCTGTAGTTAACAACAATGCACATACATATATAGATACAAATGCTTATGTGAAAAAAAAAAAAAAACAAACTTAAATGCAAGAGTTATAATATTAATTGACTATAGAGTATTCGAATATGTGGGAATAATTAATAATAATTTATCTTATCTGAAAATTCCTTAATATACTTAAGTTTATCGCATTACCTACTGAAAGAGATATTCCAATGTTGAATAACTAATTCGATTCTTCTTCTTTGTCTTTTATATAAAAATAAATACTTAAATCGCATCTTCCATCTTTTAAAACATATGATCAGCTGTAGGGAGCTGTGAGCTGAGAGTACAGACAATTGTAGAGAAGTTTTTTATCAATCAATTTTTAGAATCAAAAGGAATCGCATAAGCTATTAAGACAGATCTTGCAATGTTGGTTAACTAATTAGTATATTCTTCTTTTCAACAGCAACTACAACAGCAACAACAGCAGCAGCATCATCAAGCAGGATCAGGAAACATAATCAGTACCAGTGGCCTGGCCAGGGCTGGCAATCCGCCGCCTCAATCAACCAGTCTGCTCATGCAAAACGAAATGGTCAGCATTCCAAAGGGAAATTTGAATGGCAGCCTTAAGACGACGACGTCCCAAAGCAGCGCAGTTTTGGCGAATGCGCCGCGAGTCTATTTGGCCCCTTCCTCCAGTTTTATAGCAGCTAAGGGCCTGGGCAATACAGCCGTTGGTGGTACAGCTGGTGGCACCACAGGCGGCATCACCACAGTGACAACGCCAGTACGGCACTTCTCGCAAATAGGCAAACCACAGACCTTGCCGCCGCCCATCCAGCCATTGGGTGGCGGCGGTGGTAGTGGTGGTGCTACTGCTGGAGGTGGTGTTGGAGGAACAGGCGCGACATTTCAATTATTCGCTGCCGGTCAGCGCAAGCTGCTCAATGGCGATGCCATGATGCTATTGAATGGCAACAAGCCGCTGATATTCGCGTCGCATGGCGGGATCGGCGGCATCGGCAATGACAAGACGACAGTTCCTAATGGCAACAAAGCAACAACGTTGGCTGGCGTGGGCTCTAATCTGTTCATGGGCGTGTCAATGCCCGCCGCTCTTCCACGTCCATCCACATCAAAATCTGATTTGTACATCAATGCAGCATCAGTAACAAACCAAAAGCAAGAACAACAGCTGGAGACTGTGATCATAAGTGAGATGTCTGGCGACGCGCCAACAGAAGAAGCAATAAAAAGCCCCACAGATGCTGCTACTCTTGATCCCACAGAGGCAACCACAATAAAGCTGCAAGAGCAACAGGAGCCAATATCCCTTGCTAAGGGCGACGATGAGGCCGAGCCCGAACTGGACATTGTCATCAACAATGTGGTCTGTTCCTTCAGCGTGCGCTGCCACCTCAAGCTGCGCGAGATCGCTCTCCACGGCTCCAATGTCGAATATAGGCGCGAGAACGGCATGGTTACCATGAAGCTCCGTCGCCCCTATACCACGGCCTCCATTTGGTCATCGGGCCGCATTACGTGCACGGGCGCCACCTCAGAGGCGCAGGTAAGCAGCAAACCCCCCTGCACTGGCAGCCCCTAATACCCAGCAGAGAATCATCAGATACAGAAGTTGAAAAAAAAAAAAACGCTATTGTAGTAGGTGGATGGTAAATTTGACGAATTTGCGTGCAAATAATCTGCCTGCGTGACCATACCAGTTACTTTTAGAAAGTTCATTAACAAAACAACTTTAGGATTCACTTACCATAAAAAAGTAACGAATTTTTATGCAAACTATTTGCCTGTCTGACCTTTATTGAACAAACTTTGTAAACTCTGGGGCAACATTATGAGAGTACTCCACTTTCTAAAACGGTATATAACTCAAATGTCTCCGAAAATAATCTGTGTGGCCATAGCTGAGATCTAGATATCAATATTACTTCTGGAATGTTTATTATATACACTTAATGATTACAATTGTAGGAGGTGTATGAACATAATCTCTCTGTGTGACCATAACTGTAGACTAGTCTGACAAAAGCATTTAAGGATTGACTTATCTATTACAATTGAACAAGTTTGTGCGCAAACTATTTGCCGATCTGACCATTAATTATCAAACTTGTAACGACTTACAAAATTTATTTCTAAAACGTATTCTTGTTGTTGTTGTTTTTCAGGCAAAAATTGCAGCTCGTCGGTATGCCCGGTGTCTGGGGAAACTGGGCTTCCCGGTTCGTTTCCAGAACTTCCGGATTGTGAATGTTTTGGGGACCTGCAGCATGCCATGGGCCATAAAAATAGTCAATTTTTCGGAGCGGCATCGCGAGAATGCCAGCTACGAACCAGAACTGCATCCAGGCGTTACCTATAAGATGCGTACGCCCAAAGCGACGCTCAAAATATTCTCCACAGGCAGCATTACAGTGACTGGTGAGTGGCACTTTGAAGCACTTCTTAGAGGGAATCTGTCTCTAATAATTCTAATAATTCCAAATATTGCAGCCGCCAGCGTCAATGATGTGGAATCGGCCATACAGCACATATATCCGTTGGTGCACGAGTTCCGCAAGCAAAGATCGGCGGAGGAGCTGCTTCATTTGCGTCAAAAGCAGGGAAAGTTGGGACTGGCGGGTCCTTCGGTCGCTGACATTGAGGCGGCACTCGCCGACAAGGCCAAGACAGCGGCCGAGAACGATTTGTTTGTCAACATGACCCCTGCCCACACCACTCTGAACAACAACAACAGCAATAGCAACAACAATATTAATAATAACAACAACAATAGTCTGAGCACCTGCGGTTTAACGAACGCGACAATCGCCTCCCCGCAACTATTGGAGCAGTATAAGCAGTATCGCCACCTGGAGGAGCAGACAAATTTGGAGCGTCGCCACATCCCTTTCAACGAGGCCAATGGGCCGAGCACCTCAAGCGGCATCATCAGCGGCGCCACCACCACAACCACCGGTAGCAGCAGCAGCAGCAGCAGTAGCTCCAATATCTGTGCCAATGCGCGTCGTCGCGCCACAGAATGTTGGGCCAGCAAGCTGCAGAATAAGCGACCCCGCTATAACGATCCCAGCTCCACAGCTACGGCGAATGCCAGCGCTTTGGCAAATCGCATGTCGGGTCCCGGTGGTGGTAGTGTTAGTGGTGGTGGTGGAGGAGGAGGAGGAGCAGGCGGAGTAGCAGGAGGCGGAGGCTACGGTGGGTTTAACAGCGGCGGAGTTCGAGGAAATGGGGGCATCGGAATTGCCGGCAATCGTAGACGTCCGCCCGTGGAGTCTGTGCTGAAGCAAAGCAGCTCCCGAGGCCGGAATGCGCCCAATGCAAGACGCCGTTCCTCGTCGCCGCACGGCTTCAAGGTGGACGATCTGATCGAGGAGGACGACGATCTGGGTTGTCAGTATTGAGGAAATCAGCCAGCAAACCAAATCAATTGTCTGAGAATTGTGTTTTGTTGATACGAACGAGTTGCCTATGCCAAATTTTTAGATTTTTAGGAAACACCTAACACTCACACTCAAAAACACCCAACACACACCCAAACACACACACACAAACACGCCAAAAAGAAGAAGGAAAACATGATTTGGGACTTTAAAAATATGTAAATTATGGATGACGGATGGATTATGGTGGCAGTTTTGTGAGCGAAGAAAGCACAGATTATGTTTGCAGTGGGCGCGCATTTATAATTTAAACAAAAGCAGCAGAGGACCCAACAACGACCAACAACACAACACAACACACACAAATCCAGTCCCCTTTGTTTAAAATTATTTTTTTGGACCAAAACCAAGAATCAAAAAAATAACATAAACGGCAGAGTCGCGAAATCTTTTGCTTTCCAAAATCGCATAAAAAGCAAATCAAAAAACCAAACAGAACACAACAAAAACTAATGGAAAGAAGCGGAGAAAACAGACAGCAAACAGCAAAACGGATGCAACAACAAAAATATTAAAATAGTAAAAACGAGAACCAAATATTTACATTTAAGGTAAGAGTTAAGAGTTAAATTGATTTGCACTTGTATTCCAACATTTAAATATTGGAAAGAACGTTAGCTTGTTTTCCATTTGGTTCTCCAAATTTATATTGAAAATGTCAAATTTTTTACTTATTTTCCACCACTCCTATCGTCAAAGCGTTTAAAAATGTTTTCTTAGTTCCAATTTAAATCCATATTGGTTTGAAATTCATTTAAACTTTGAACTTAAAGAAGATGTTTTATAAATTGTGAATTTAAATTTATTTTCTAAGAATGCAAAGTTTTTAAAATTGTTTTCATCAGCTCTATCTATATTCTGACTTAAAAATGTCCAAACAATAAGAAAAGAAAAATACAAAAGAAATAACTATAAGTATTATATTATCTGTTTCTTCATCGTTTCAGGTTACATTTAGAGACAGTTATTTTAAGAAGAAGAAAAAACAAAACAAAAAAATCGCAATAACAATAACGTCGTCGATTTGATGTGAACTGCGGATATAATCAACCGACATATATAACATATATATATATATATGTACATATACGTATGCATCAGTTACGTATTTGGAAGCCGAGAATAGCAACAACAGCAACTACAGCAACAACCACAAGCAAGGAAGAGACGGAAAGCAGCGATTGAATAAAGAAAAAGAAGATGAAGAAAAGATCGATCACGACAGATTACAACAATGCCCCGAGGTTTTTTTTGTTTTTTTTTTTTATTTAGATGTAGATCTATGTGAGCAAACCACCGCCTATGAATACTGTAATCTATAAATAAACTAACTATTACTACTACTACATGCCTAAATACATACATACATAGATACATTCATGCATATGTGTATGAATATGTGGAACACACACACACACGCAATAGGGTTTAGTGTTATTTTCTCGTTTAAACTTAGTTGCTATCGATTAGGATATGAAGTACGTTTAGTTTATTATCGTAACTATCGATCTATCGGTCTATCTTAACTTTGTCAGTTAAATGGTTCGTAAATAAGCTTAATGGTAATGTAATTAATATTTTGTATTGCTAGTTAATTGCAAAAGAAAAACAAAAAACAAAAACATTTCATAGTAACGAATTAGTTGTATAATTAATTATACACACATATATATATATATATATATATGATTAAACTTTTTTTCTTTTTTTTTCTAACGACCTGGAACCAAAAACTAATATGAACATTTTGCTAGACAGCGCAATTAATTAATTAACTAATTTATAAAGCCAGATACATATGTCATACATATAAAGATGATGATTATGATAATTAGCGTACAAGATAGAAACAAAGTGTGTTCTAAATGCTGGAGAGGATGTAAGGAAGATCAAGGTGATCAAACAGCAGCAGCAGCGCGCATTAGTCGTAATAGTTTATTTATATATTATATTCGTTTAAAATGCTATTATTATTATTATGTGAGTCGCTTCTTAAAACATTCAAAACGCATGCCCATATATAGTATGTTTTTTAAATATACATATATTCGCAAATTAATACACTCTCTGGTCATAAACCAATAATAAGCCGGCTAGCCAGCAAGCAACGGCAAACGAAATGCTAAACAAATTAACTTTAATTTATAAATTTGGTCAACCCACACACTTTAACTGTAAGCATATTGCAATAGTTGTATGAACGGAGCAGAATATATACATAAAAGATAACGGGATTTTTTTGTCGCCTTACTTCTAAGCATACGTACATACAACCATACAACATACATACTATGTACATACATACATTATGTATTTTAATTAAGACCTAAAAAAGGTGTGTTTCGATAATAATTACGTCGTGTGTAGCCTGCTATTGGGTATAAGTTGAAAAAGCAAAGTATGTTTTTTTTTTTTTTTTGCCTCACCCATTGCATATTATTATGAAGCTAAGTAGCGATAAAAAAAACTGTTCCTGTGTTGTTAAAATAAAAAGAGAAACTTTATTTTAAGTATAATTACACACACACACATACATACGAACATTTATATACATGTGTTTTAAATTATCCATACATATGCATACAAAAAATCGTATAGCTACAAAGAGCATAAGCAATAAAAAGTTTTTATTTCAATGAAACATTTCACAACAACATAGAAGAATGCAAAAATTAAATTAAATGTACGTACATATGTTCATACAACAACACGAAAAAGGCGGGCTAAATTTTGCGAGAGCGTAAATAGAGAGAGAGAGAGAGAGAGAGAGAGAGGAAAGTCAGCAAAGTCAGCCAAGTCAGCCAAAATAACGCCGTTAATTAAATTATTCCTATATTAAAAATAATAAACGAACCGTTTGTCGTGAATATACACTGGAGAGCAAGTGTGTATTGTATTTGAATTTCTTTGACAATTTTATCTTAGAAAAGTTTCAATTTTATATTTGTTTTTATATTATTACAGTTATTTAATTTTTTTATCATGAAACAATTTGAAATAGTTTTTTCAATAAATTGACATTTTTATCTTTTATAAACTGTTGAATTCTCTTTACAAGAGTGCAGTTGCTCATAGCCAATTTTATTTTATCAGAAAAAGAAAAGTAACCACATATATGTATTACCAGATACTCAACAAAATCAAGTTAAAAACTGTCAGCCAAGCTAAAAAAAATTTTTTTTTTTTTTAAATAATGCCTGCAAATAATGCACATGTTGTGCAAAAAGTTTTATAATAACTTCCATATGTTTGTTACCTCCTTTGCATACATAACTCTGTACTACTTATCTACTAAAGAACAGGATATCTCGCTTCCAGGCCAGGCCCAACAATGATCTGCAGCACATTTGTATACATAACACACATTAAAACACACACACACTACTAACATAATCACACCTTGAGAGACCTTAAACATATGATTAAAAGAAGAACAAAAAAAAAAAAAACGAAAAAAAAGGAAAAATTGAAAAACAACTGTAAAATGTCTTTCATGTCCAATGCTGACTTGCGTTTCTGCTTAAATCGCTTATTATCCACATATCTATATGTATGTAATGCACAAATACAGCTACATATAGAGAGGGAGTCGGAGGAAAGGGAAAGTTGGAGAGAGTGGATGAGAGAGGGAGAGCGTTCGTTCATATCGTTAAATTTATGCATAATCAAAATAACAACAAAATCACGAAACCAAAATATCAACAAAACATTTTCGTTTTATTTTTTTAATCGTATTTATTTTCCTCTGTTCCACAACACCACAATATAATACATAAAAAAACAAAACAAAATTTAATTATTAATAAAATTAAATTTGAAATGCCTTTAGGGAACAAATAAAAGCGTAAATGTAAAGCAACAACATGTGAAGAAGAAAAAAGAAGCATAAGAAAAAATTTAAATCTGTATACATACATGTATTGTATTTTTTATGTGTATGTTGGAAAAGAAAAACAAATAAACGTGAAAAAATGTAAAACTTCTAACGTAATTGCAACTCTAGCTGTTTAGTCTGTAAGTGGAGAGCGGAAGGAGAGACAGAAACAAATATGAATACTAATCTTAAGCCAAACGCAAATAGCAATCTGAATAAAAACCAACCAACAAATTGAACTACGACTAAAATGATAAAAATATAATTAAGCCACATATTTAGCAGCAAACATCCATATTTATATATAAATAAAAATCAATTAAATTGTATTTATGTACAGAGCTGCTAAACAATTAATTGCAATTAAACAACAACCAGAAAAGGGAGAAGAGAGAAAACAAAAACAAGGCCACTTAATTTTAACTAAAATAATGCAAATAAAAACAAGTTGAGATTTTTTCTTGAAAGTGAAATTCACTTCTAACTGCCTTCGAAAAAAACTAAAATTACACACAAAATATAAACGTAAAGACAAAAACAAAGAGAAACACATTAAATGAGCACACACACACACACACATACACACTAAACAACAAAAGCAACAATAACAATTTTGCATTAGTAATATCTAAATTTGTTAAAAACTGATTTCATTTCGAAAGAAACTTTTTTGTTCAATGTAAAAAGCAACAACAAAAACAACAATAACAGCAGAAAGAAAGGCCTAAATAAGTGTATTTGGTTTCATAAACATTTAAAACACACCTAATATATATAATAATATATATACATATATATATTTTTTATTATTATTATTGAAAGAGAAACAAACAAACAAACAAAATGAAAATGAAATAGTATAATTCTGTTTTTGTTTTGCCGTAAAGACTGCATTATACCAACAATTAATTATATATATTTACACGCTATATATATATGTATCTATATGAATGTACATATCTATATATAAATATATATATAAATGAATATATATATATATTCATTTATATATGTATATGTACATTCATATATGTATGTATAACAAAATGATAATGACGAGACGATGAACAGATAATTATGAATTATGACCGAAAATGATTTGTAAAAACTTAAGCGTTACTTTAATAATAAACTTTGAATAAACGACAAAATTATAAAAATATATACTTATATATATATATACTTATATATACATATATTGTATATGAAAAAACATCAACAAAACATTTATTTATTAGCAATTCAGCTGTAAGATATTTTATTTAACGAAAGCTACCGCAATTCGCATTCGCATGCAGGAAATTGCAGGAATTGCTGCGAGTGTGAACGCGCGAAGAGTCTCCTCTTGAGAGTTGAATAAAATGGGGGGTGGGGTGGTGAGTTTCATAGGAGGAAACAAAAAAGGAATAACGCCAAGCCAGCCGGAAAGGCCTGCAATATTGAAATACGAAAAGCAAGATAAAATTACCTTAGCAACAAAATGCAAACAAAAACAGAAACTCTAAAGTGTAAAATAAACAATAAGTGAGCAAGTAACCTACATACGACTATATGGCAAATTTCAAGTTACAAATAATTGCAAAACTGTTCAAACAATATTATTTATAGATTTTGTGTACCTACATAAAAGGCCATTATTCATACATATGGTCCAATCCTTTCTGTTCTATTTATTATTTTCAAATTATTTAACTTTTTTCAAGGGAATCCCCCAAACTAGACTTTAGCAATAAAAAACTATAATATACATATGCATAATGTATCTGATTTATGTATTATACAATTTGATTAGTTAGTTGCCTGCCAGTTGCATTAAACTACATTGGTAAACCATACAATTATCTATATAAACAATATACATACTTACATATATGGAATATATATATATATATAAAAAAAAAAAAACAAACCAAGCAAATATGTTGTAGTCTAAGGTTAGTATATAGTTTCAAGAAAACAAACACACACTATGCAAACTGTTTTGAAAATACAGTGAAAACTCAAAGAAAATACAAACGACAAGGCAAAAGCAAAAACAAAGCGAAATTGTTTGAATAAAAATCAAATTACATAAAAAATACAAATTTCGTCAAAGAGTTTTCTGGGGGGATCGTTTATTTTACAATGCAGAAGTGGATTGTATCCTCATTGACTCTTGAAGCCTTTCTGTTTCTGCTTCAGGACGCGGCGTATTCATGCTCTGAAAGACGGCACAGTTTCTCTAGCCATCAGCTAGGCGATCAGCATTGGTAATCTAATTTTTTACATTTGTTGTGACTTTTTATGTCGAAGCACCTAATATGATAAAAGTTATTTTAAAAAATAATGAAAGCACTGCAAGTGGTAAATTGGCGACAAGGATATGATAACTGACTTACTCAAAACATTTTCATATATATTTCGCAGATTGGCATCACTCTTTGCTAGTTGTCAAGTATCGATATGTCGATTTTAAGTTGCTTGGCATCCCTAGCTTCCTATCGGCAGCAGCTGTAGCAGCTCTGTTAACTGCTAACAGTGTGAAATGACAATCATATTCACAATATAGCCACAATGCTGCTGAACAGTCGAATTGGAAGAGCGCTTTCGACGCCGCTCTCACAACGCAGCAGTGAATAATTTTTTTGGCCATAAAATAACTTGCGAATCGCCAAAGAATATAACATTTTTTGTGTTGTTTTTTTAGTTACTAGCTACTGCCCTACTTTAACTGTTGCACTTGTTTTGTGAAAACTGCAGAAAAACGGTGCATGAAATTGTTTAAAGTGCTAACAGCAAAATGTAAATAACAGCGTAGTGAAAGCCAGCAGAGCAGCAAACAAGCTTGCAAAAGAGCCACAAAAAAAAATCAATTGCAAAAAATAACACACTAAGCAAAAAGCCAACAAAACGCATAGAAGCAGAAAAGACTATCGACATCATCAAGAAAAAAGAAAACCAAAATTCAGTGTCTAGTGCATTTGCGCATAGTTTTGCGAGCGAACAAGTGAATCAGAGTCCAGCTCAGCAGCATTCGTGACAGTTGTATGCAAACCCACTTACGCACACACACGTACGCACGTACACGCGGACAAGAACTCGCATTGTTGGAGACACGCTGCCGGTGCTAATTATTAAACAAAAAAAGAAAAGGAAAATATTTAGCAAGAAACACTTGTCGTATTGTGCGTATCATAGCAAAAGTAATTATTTTTTGCTGTGTGTGTGTCGTGTGTTTTTTGTTTTGTTTGTTTTTGTGTTTTCTGCCAAACATATTGTTGCAACGGCAGCCGCTGCCGCGCGTGTTGACATGGCGTTAAAAAAGGTGAAGGGGAACTTTGAACGTATGTTTGACAAAAATTTAACAGATTTGGTGCGTGGCATACGAAACAACAAGGATAATGAGGTGAGTCTGGTGGACACTGCTTTCCTTTTCATCGACGTTTTTATTTTGTTTTGAGTACGTCTCTCTGCCCAACCTCTGCTCTTCTGTTTCTAATTAGCTGCCAAAATTTAATTTACATTAGCTTAGCAGCCCTGCTGGTGTCAGCATCTGTTACATGTATGCATGTGTGCGTGTGTATGTGTATGCAAAAAGTGTAAGCAATGGGCCTGCTTGAAGGAGACTCAATTAGCGGCATTTCTCGCTGCTCTCTTAATGTCTTTATGTCAATTGGGGAGCCCTAGTCTCCCTCCATGCCTTCCCACTCTTTCTAGCTGTTCTGCCTGCACTGAGAAAAATGTTTCCAATTGGTTTTTAGGAATATTTTAACATATTTAAAAACCGATCTTAACTTAAAAAAAGTCTTTTATCGGATTAAAAAAAGAAAGAAAAACATGAATATTAAATCTTGAAAATAATGTTTATACTAAACATGAAAATGCGTTTCTCTAAATTTTTGCGAGTGTACACTTCGACTTATGAGTTCTCCCTGGTGTTTGTGTGTGTGTGTGTATGAGTTATTTGCTTACTGCGCGCGCAAACACATGACAACAACAACAAACCCAACACCTACTAGAACAAAAAAAAAAGAAAACAATAACAAGAACATCATAAACTTAGGACCAACCCATGCTGCCAATTAAAGGCGCACGTTTTTGCCAAATATTTGCCCAAAGGAGGATCTCCGAAGCACTCACCCACAGAGTTTATACTAGCGGCCTCTGGGGCCCACATTCTCTCATTGAGAATTTGTGCCACATTGCGTGTTGGCTGTTAGCTTCCTTCTAGGATTGGCAACAACAAATAGTAATGCTCGGCTGCGCTGAAACTAAACATCGTAAATTTTTTCATATAAAATGGCCCATGTTATTCTTACAAGGTTGATAATATAATAAGCGGATTAAATTACGCTTGGAAAGAATTAATCCAAAAACTTACTCCCAACTGCGCAAAAATTATAGGTCCTTCATACTCTTTTATGGAACTGGTTTACTCTCGACGACTTATTCCCCGGAGTCTGACAACATTCTTCTCAATAAACAATTCCAATTCGCGTTCAATAAAATTAAAGAGAGTCTTTATGAAAACAAATAGAATAAATGGATTAGAAAAGAAGAAGTGATCTTAAAAGCTATAAAATACTCATACATATATCCAACATTGTGTTTTATAGACTTTCTTAATTTTAATTCTTTCCTGACAATACACATTTCCCAAAAAACACTTCAATTCGCTTTTAAGAAATTAGTCGTTTCGTTGAAAATAATATAGAGGCTTTAACCTGTTCAGATGGAGTGGAGTGCTTTCGGATTATGTGAGCTTTTGGAATCTGTTTTTGAATGTGTAACAAACATGCAAAGCCCATATAGTTGTATTATACCTTGAACAGCATAAAATTAACATCGGACTACTATTTTTCAAGTTAATTTGCATTTTTGGGCATCAATTGTTTTTGCAGTTTCCAATCGCAGACTGCTTTCAGTTCCAAGTCGACGGCAGGCAGCATCATCATCGTCATTATCATCATCATCATCATCATCAATCGTATTTTCTGGGCTGCCTTCAATTTCTATGTAATGCAAGCGTTGATTTATATTTTGTTATTTGTATTCATTTATTTTCTTCTACTGGTGTGCGCGTCTTACGCCTCATAAAACTGATAGCGACAGGCAAATGACGGTCAGCCCCAGCCCTCGGCACCTCCGCCTCTCCGCCCCTCCCTTCTCCCCTATCTTGTTTCGAACACACACACACACACATACAATGCCAGCTCAATTTTGTTTTTAAGGCAAATTTCTGTGCTCTGCTTTGATGTTCATACAAACAAAGATATGTCTGTATATAGTATTTTCAGTGCAGATACATACATATATACGAACGTACAGAGAGCCCCCCATGTGACGAACACGCTATGTAGGGTGTTACTAATAGAGCTGTTTCGGTTCGCCAACTACTTCCAATGACCGGCTTTTTTAAAGGACGGTCTCTGGCTTCCGATTGTTCTTCTGATTATACCATAGAAGTAATGGGTTTTTCTTGAATATTGTACAATACCCAAGCTAAGAGGAGCCAAGGTATTTGAAAAGCTCTTTAAATCTTTTAAACAAGTGGTCGATACACAAAAAAAAAGCTTAACATTTTCACCATCGGAGCCTTGAAATATAGTATGTATGTATAAAATAAGTATATATATATATAACAAGGTATAGTTGGTATATATGGTTGTTTATCTAATAACATGCATGTCTCAGTTTCTACTTTTGATTGAAATAAGCAGCATCGAAATTGTTAAATATTTTCTTATAAAAAAAAAACAACTTTTGAGTTATGGGGCTTCGAAAGTGGCTAATGGGGACTAGATTATAAAAAAGGCTTTTTGTCAATTCATCCTCCACATCAACAAATCGAATTTGTGTGTGGATATCACAGATGTGAAAGCATTTCCGCATTTCCCCCTGGTATTTCACATTTTGGTGTTTATGTGGGGCACAGATTATTCAGGGTCGTCATGGCACGACTTTAACGTTCTGCCCGTTGACTTCTCGTTCTTCTTGAACAATGCTTTCGTTTTATGGAATCCCGAAACCGTATTCTGGTTTGTTTATTTCTGTTCACACTAACGGTTCGCAACTGTATACATTTGTTTTAACATTAATGGGATCATATATTCAATACATATATATTTATTCACGTACATATGTATATCTGCATTGTTTGAGTGGGCGTACAAGTTGGGTAGACACTTGGCAATATTAAATATCACTCCCCACAACCATTCCTTGTGACTTAATTTTGCAGCTGTTGTTCTGTTCTTGTGGTTGTTGTGGCTATTGTTGTTGTGGTTGTTGCATTTGGCGAGCATTAAATCTGTTTTCGATTAGACACGCGTCCCATGAACTATCCAATTGATGAAAGGGTTACTAATTAATCTCCCTTCTCCTCCCTCTCCCGCAGGCCAAATACATATCGCAGTGCATTGAGGAAATCAAACAGGAGCTGCGGCAGGACAATATCAACGTCAAGTGCAATGCGGTGGCAAAGCTGACCTATGTAAGTGCTATGATTTGGTGGGAGCCACCTAAAGATAATACACAAATGTATAACATAAGGTGGAATCGGGCTTTGAGCAATAATTAAATTCACTTCATAGATTCGAGGCAGTCATTAAAACGCCGACATGTGTAGGGCCTTGAGAGAATTTGTAAAAGGTGTGGTCCGACTGGCTAACAATTTGCACACCAATTGATTGAACCCAGATCAAGAATCGAGAATGCTATGTTATTTCAACCAAAACCAAAACATGAATTCTTGCTTGCTATGTAAACAAAGAAGCTCATGCCACAAAAAACCTAATTGCAATTGACTTTAAAGCCTAGCTAGAGTATTACATATGTACATATATAGTACATATATAGATTTCGAGTTGAAAAGCACATGAATTTACAAGAGCTTTGCTTTTGTATGCATATACTAGAATCTATAGATTTAATCGGAACGCTTATTCGTTTCAAAGATGAACTAAATCGCTTCATTTGCGCAAAAGTTTCTCGAAAGGTCTTAGATCTTGGTTGGATTATATAAAACTAGAAATTGTTTTTAGTATAACAAATAGTCAATTACTTCAAAAACAATTACCCGTATAGACCAGGATGGTCCTTAGTGTTTTTGGGGGTGTGGAGATCAGTTGGGAGAGCGATTGATCCATTAGCATCTTGATGTGATGTATGTATTTCATTTATAGCTGGTGTTCCAGCGTTTCTATCACATCCTCGCATTATCTACTGTTGTAGGAGGAATTAGGTAAGCTTAGGGATGTCAGCAGGGATTTCATAGCTTCTGTCTACGTAGGTGTATATGCGCTCTTTTGTGGTGTATAGCTCTAATACACAACAGTCTTTGGACAGCTTGGACGACTGTTTGAGCACAGGATCACGGTGCAGTATATTTTTTATACCCCACTTCCTGTCTCCATCTTCGAGCTTCTGATGAAGTACTTATAGGCAGAGGCGCCTACGTAAGCCCAATCGTAGGGATCATGAAGCTCTAAGCCCGTTTGCTTTGGTAATACTTAGAAGACTCTATGTGTAAATAGAAGGTAATTTTCTGATACCAATAAAATTTTTATTGGACAGAAAAAAAAGTGGGAGAATGTGAGGACCTTTTCCATAAGAGGTAACGCCGCATCCATCATGACAGAACGCATGATTGAACGAATTTCAAGGTAATCATAAAATTTAAGAATTGTCCTACCTAGAATAGGTCTTAAATAAAGATTAAAGAGCGCACAAATTAATAGCGGTTAAGTCTCTAGAAAGAGATGTCGGAGTAGTTCCCGGCTGTTTATGAAGTCGTTAGACAGGCCTTCATGCCATTTTTTGAAGCTTAAAGCCTTCGCACAGCTATGCAGTATAGGCTTTAAGCCGCGTAACACCTGAGGACACACCCACACAATTTATCACACACACCTACACACCTACAGACATATTAGGCCGTGTCACGCCCAGTGCTGCACTTAATGTTAATAGCTGGAGGCGAATGCGTGCCTAAAAGCCTGCCGTATACCATATCCTGCACAGGACCAGACATGTACATACAGATGTGTGTATGTGTGTGTGCGTGCTGCTGACAATAAAAAGCGGCAACAACCATTGCCCCCAGTTAGGTGCCGCTAACAAGCAAAAAAGCCAAAGACGATCCCACAATGGCAAAAACAAAAAAAAAACAAAAAACAAAACGAAAACAACTACTCGCTGGCAACATTAAAAATATACATATGTGTCTATATACACATACACATACATTATGTATACAACATACTTGTATATACATATAAAGACGCTTAGCTGCAGGATGTTGCAACATTGCAAGCGACGGCAGCGTCGAGTCCTTGAAGCCCGCTAACAAAACTTATTATAGAACGAGGCACACACACACACACACACACACACACCCACACATCCATAGACATGCCTGCACCCATAAATATCTATGCACATCTATGTAGAATAATGTGCAAAGAAAAAAGGATATAAAAAATGACTAGCCAGTTGAAATGTGCTGCATAAGCAGGAATATGAAATACCCTACGATTGCAAATATCGGAGTTTATTTATCAACAGCCTTTGTCCATTTTTGGGCCAAGTTTGTCAATAAAATCATTATTCAGTGATACGCCAGAAAGCCTTACCTCATATTAGGGCTTAGTTTATCAAAATAAAAGAATACAAGTACAACATCGTTCAATCACTTATATACAAGAAAGCCTAACCCTATTTATGGGACCAGTATATCAATAAAAGAATAAAAGATCATTTAAACAGTGATATGCCGAAAAGCTTTATCCCATATCGGGACTGAGTTTGTCAATAATAATAATGATAATGATCTGAAATAAAAAAGTGAATGAAATGATCTACAGAAAATTTCAGATATTATGTTGCTTCATAGCCCGTTCATTTGCTATTCATCAACAACTTAATCGTGTCACGTTTTCGGATGTTTGCTGGAGACACTTCGGGATGTGGAAGGAACATCCGAGAAATGTGACGAAATTAGAACACGATCGGATATACATGAGATAAAGTACACTACGAACTTATACAAATAGTCGAGCCTTCCACATATCTAGATATGTTGGATAGTCGATTGAATAAATTATTTTCTAGAAAGCTCAACCTCTGGCTTGACTGCTGAACAAACTGTTTTATGAAACAAATAGGCCTGTACATGCCATACACATATATGGGTGTAGGGCATTAAATATTTTTAAAAGTCTTATTGATTTCTCTCTCATGGCAGATTCAAATGCTTGGCTACGACATTTCCTGGGCCGGATTTAACATCATCGAGGTCATGAGTTCCTCGAGATTCACATGCAAACGGATTGGTTATCTGGCCGCCAGTCAATGCTTTCATCCGGACAGTGAGGTACTTATATATAGACACACTCTCAATAAGTATATAGTATACAGGGATGTCTCTCAACTTGCAGCTGCTTATGCTGACCACGAATATGATACGCAAAGACTTGAACTCACAAAACCAGTACGATGCCGGAGTGGCGTTGAGCGGTCTCAGCTGTTTTATATCGCCCGATTTGTCGCGCGACTTAGCCAATGATATTATGACTTTGGTAAGTATATCATCGAATGCCATATTCCCAGACTCAATAATCATCCATTTTCTGCAGATGAGCTCCACAAAACCGTATTTGCGCATGAAAGCCGTCCTTATGATGTATAAAGTATTTTTACGCTATCCAGAAGCATTGCGACCTGCATTTCCAAAACTCAAAGAGAAACTGGAAGATCCCGATCCAGGTATGAATATCTTTCAATGATTTTTTAATTCTGTTGGGAACTTAGAAATGATAAGAGTGTAAAGATTACTGAAAAGATTAGCCCTTGACTGGCCCAACTGGGAGAAGAATTGGCACCGCCATTATCAACTCTCCATCAACCATCAACCATCATCTCATCATTATTATCTATCATCTCATCACTTATCATCTTACCATCATAATCTATAATCTTTTTATCATCATCGCCATAATCGGTCTTTTAAATCTCTAACAATTCGATTACTGTCCGTTGCTCTCATTTTCCAAATCCAGGTGTACAATCCGCTGCCGTAAATGTTATTTGTGAACTAGCACGTAAGAATCCGAAAAACTATTTACCACTGGCTCCCATATTCTTCAAGTTGATGACCACATCGACCAATAACTGGATGCTGATCAAGATCATAAAGCTGGTGAGTGTTTTGTGCCGATGTTGCTTTTTTGGTTCTCATCCAAATTACAGCACAGACAGCCACAATTGTTTAAAGAAAAATAATGAGCACACACACACAACATAATTCATGCTGTACATGCTTACTATATATATATATTTATAATACAAATCGGAATATCTATATATATATATATATATATATATATATATATATATATAGTACATAGCTATGTGCGAACTCAATTTATGTACTATTTAAGTCCTAGAAAGTAAGAACTAAGAAATGTAAAACAAAGCAGAGACGTTGAATTTAATTAACACGATTCCCCCTCCCTCCTCCAAACTGCCAAATGTTCCAAATGTTTTGAAAAACAGTTCGCGAGCCTCACAACTATCGAACCAGCGTTGGGACGAAAATTGACTCAGCCCCTAATTGAAATTATTTCCAGGTTTTTATCGGCGCGCTTTTATTTAATCAGACACAACAAACACACATACACACACATGCGTACAAATATACGAACAAAAATGAAGAAAATTATTGTTAAAAAAAAAGCACGCGCTTTTCTTCAGTTCGAGCAACTTATTTAGTTTTTTAGTTAGTTTTAAACTTATTTAAATAATTATTAAGAAGCCCCCGATTCAGTTGATTCTTTTATCATTTCCCCACAAAGCTCTCACTTCAAGGCACCGAAGCTAAATACAAAAACAAACCCACACACATAACCATCCACCCACTCTCATTGGATATTTTGTATTGAAAGTGTTCTTGAAAGAAGAAATAACTTATAACCGAAATTTCAATACCGATTTCGTTGTCACACAATCCTCATCACACTTATTTGGCCAACTTGCTTATTTTATTGAAAACGTTTCTGATATTCTATATTCCTGCTCAACAATTTATGTTCGTAACCCTTATGTTGCCAGTGTAAAATGTGCCTTGGAAAGCGGGCGCAAAATAATCAAAGCATTCATACTACAAACTAGAGTTGCAATTTAAAATATCGAAACTATCGACAGTATTGCAAGAGAAAAATGGACCTTACATTATTTAATTATCCAGTACTAAAAGAGATAAATCAGCGCCAAAATAGCCTAGCATGATGAGAAGAATCGACAGAAAAATATCCGTCTGTCCACATGCTCGTTTGCACTCCTGTTCGACTGTATGAACCACGAGAACTCTTTAATTATAACAGCTAGGCACACGAAACTCTTATAACAAGTTAATATTTATAGGTTTTTAATAATTATGTAAAATATTATTGAATCGGCTAACTTTATCATATGGCTGCCATAGGAACGATAGATCTTTCTACTAAAATCTTTTCTGCTTACATATTTCGGTATCGTAACTGAACCTGGTACATAGTTTTGCAAGTGCCTCACCACAACCATAGTACTGTCAAAATCGGTGCACTATATCATATATCTGTGGTAGGAATGACTGCCAAAACAAAGTTTATTTCAGTTATATGGCTGACTGATTTTGGTCTATTTGTTTATTAAATTAGATTAAAAACAATCGTAAGATGTTAAGATCTTCTTTTCTACTTAATTCTGGTGTTACTAATGCCATCTATACTATCGATAGTATCAACAGACTTGCAGCTCTAAATACAGACAGACTCGTACATACATATATAGCGTATAAATCCACCGAAGATGAGCAGACTCGGCCAACTAGCCGGCGTCCAAATGGCCTTGCAAAGATGATTAGATATCCCCCCAATTGAGTATCGTCGTAAAAAGTGAAAATTTCTAAAAATACTACAAGAAAAGATTACCTACCTTCCCAATAGACACTTTATTGTCTGTTTGACTGACTGACTGTCTGTCTGACTAACAATCAAAAAGTGACAATGCCTCGAGGTCATCAGAAATGTGTGAATCGGGTGGAAAAGTTCTTTGCAAGGCCATTTAAAATCCCAACAGTCTACAGTTCTAGCATAAGAGTGTAAGCTACAGGGTAGCGCAGTGAACCCTAAATATCTACATACTATATACAGACGTGTATGTGTCTCCCCATTCCAATATACTCGTACTCTTCCACACTTTATTGTTTAATTTAATTTATTTTCAATTAGAGTTAATTTTTATGTTGTTGTTTGTGTAAATATTTCGTTGTTAGTGGAGTTTTGAGTTTCGATGAGACGTTTCTATGATTATATTGTATAATTTGTTGCTTGTTTCTTTTTCTCTTTGCATTTGCAGTTTGGCGCTTTAACTCCCTTAGAACCCCGGCTAGGAAAGAAATTAATAGAACCACTCACAAATCTAATTCATAGGCAAGTTTTATAATTTTTGAAACTGAAACTGAACTGAATTTGTGCTAAAAACGAAAACAAAACGAGTTGGAAAAACTGCAAAACTGCAACTGAAGCGAATGTTGAAGCTGATCTCTAAGCGCCGGCAACTGCAGCTGCAACTGCAACTGCGATTGATTGATCAATTGATTGATTGACAGGCTGCTGATGGGCTGATCGATTAATTCTATTATTGTTCGATAAGCAATTAAGCGATGGCCTGACGACGAATCACAACATATGTATAATTTCGGTGCCATTGCAATTTGATCTGCCGATCGCTGTTGCGCAATCAATATTGTGCGCTTGAGAGACATTTTGATTGACGTTTTTAAAATGCTGTTTATGCCAATTTCTTCATTTTATGTTGTTCTTATATTTTAGTTTTTGTACAAAGTTTAGGAATTTTTAATAAGTTGCGTTTATTTGTTTGATTGATTGATTGGTTGATTGATGTATCATTTCATTGCCGCTCTCTTGCATCCGCTTCCTTCTCTTCTCTGCTCTCTTCTTTATTTCTCGCTTACTTCTGGCACTTTCTGTTCTCTCTTCTCTACTTTTCTGTTTTCAAATCAATTTTAACGCTAAATGCAAACTTTGCATAGTTGTAGACTTTGTTTTTGTCGTTGTTGCTGTTGTTGCTGTTGTTGTTGCTGCTGCTGCTACTACTGCTGCTGGTGCTGCTACTGTCGTACGGCTCCATTTATTATTATTATTATTTGTATTTTGGTTCTTGTTGTTGTGATTGTTGTTGTTTTTTCACACTATTTGTTTTCGCTTTTGGCAAAAAAAAAAAAAAAAAAAAAAAATTCAAACAGAAAAAAATGAAAAACTTTATTGAATTAAAGTGAAATACAAATACGCGCCTTCAATTCAATTATAATCACATATGCCCCAAACGCTTCCAACCCCCCTGCCCCGCCCCCAACCCCTTCGAACCACCAACAGCACATCAGCGATGAGTCTCCTCTACGAGTGCATCAACACCGTGATCGCCGTCCTCATCAGCATCAGCAGCGGCATGCCGAACCACAGTGCCTCCATCCAGCTGTGCGTCCAGAAGCTGCGCATCCTCATCGAGGACTCGGATCAGAATCGTAAGTAAATCTGCAATGCGCTCAGGAACGGTGCAAAGGTATACTAAATAGCTAGAATATATGTACATATCTATCTAGGTAGCAGGCAGCATGAGGCTGTTGTAGTCAGGCAGATGATCAGCACGAATCTACGTATGTCCGTCTGTCCATCTTAGGCAGACCAAGTTTTTCTTTTTATATACACAGCTGCGATAGAAACGATCCGTGCGAAATTCCATCGTAGTACTAACAGAGTACCTAGCAGAAGCAAAAAGAAGAAGAGCGAAATTGATGCTGCAGTTTGTGGGCGTAGTACTGGAGTGAAATCGTTTCGCTAATAACTTTTCTTAAAATTGACCGATTTGGATGAAACCAAAAGGAGATCATTGTATATAGATTGTATGTGCAAAGTTCGTTTATAAGCTTTTGAAATGAGGGCAGTAATGGGGAGATGACGAGGAAAATCCAAAAATAAATTAAACTCGTGTAGCCTAGGGACTAGGAGCGTGCACATACCATAGTTTGGTTAATGTGCGCTCAGCCGTTTCGGAAATCCAGGCGTTCATTCAGACGAACAGACAGGCGAACATGTCTAGACTAGATCGATTCGTCTTGTCATGCTTGTTACGAATTTATATATTTTATGGGGTCGGAGATGCCACCTTCTGCCTGTTACATACAAGTACTTTGCACAAACCTAATATACTCTTTATACCCTACGGGTACAGGGTATGAAAACCAAACAGTTTTTAATAGTGTCTACCCCTATTCTAAACTTGTATGAAAGTAGATTTCAAAACCTCCTTTAACCACCTCCTTTTCCACCTCTTTTGTATTCGCAGTGAAGTATTTGGGTCTGCTGGCCATGTCAAAGATACTGAAGACGCATCCGAAGAGCGTACAGTCGCACAAGGATCTCATACTAGCCTGTCTGGACGACAAGGATGAGTCGATACGACTGCGTGCTCTCGATCTGCTCTATGGCATGGTATCGAAGAAGAATCTCATGGAGATTGTGAAGCGTCTGCTGGGCCACATGGAGCGCGCCGAGGGCTCGGCCTATCGCGACGAGCTGCTCTACAAAGTCATTGAGATCTGCTCCCAGAGTTCCTATTTGTATGTCACCAATTTCGAATGGTATCTGACCGTGTTAGTCGAGCTGATTCAATTGGAGGCGGGCTCCAAGCATGGTATGTGCTCCTGCAAAATCCGAGCATCAGCTATAATGCACCTCCCATAATTCCATCATCTCATTCTCATTTGTACAGGACGCCTAATTGCTGAACAGCTGCTGGACGTGGCCATTCGTGTGCCTGTCGTGCGTCAATTTGCAGTCAACGAGATGACCAACTTGCTGGACACCTTCGTAGTGTCCGCACAAAGCAATTCCATGTATGAGGTCCTCTATGCGGCTGCCTGGATTGTGGGCGAGTTCTCCAGGTCGGTAGCAAACTTCTTTAAGAGGCATTTAAAAGCGCGACAAATTTGTGTGCAGATTATTTGTCTGTTTGAATGCAGCTTAAAACAATATCAGCTACGACTGACGCAAGCGTTCTTGTGATCCTCTTTTTAGTGAGCTGGAGGATGCTGAAAAGACTTTAAATATCCTGTTGCGTCCGCGACAGCTGCCCGGCCACATACAGGGTGTCTATGTGCAGAATGTCATCAAATTGTTTGCCCGTCTGGCCACCACTTGCTTGGAACTGCAGGATGTGCCCGGCATTTTGCGGGTAAGTTACTTAAGCACAGACCCAGTGAGTCCTTTGATTTGTATATTGGGTGTTCCTTGGCTTGGCTTCCGTGTGGTGTGCAGGTGTGCGACCATGTCCTGGACAAACTGCAGCACTTCAATGGCTCTAGCGACATTGAAGTGCAGGAGCGTGCCAATTCCGCTTGCATTCTGATTGAGATGCTGAGAGCACAGTTCACCTCAGCGAACTCAACGACGACGACGCTGGCGGAGACACTGGAGGCTAATGTGGATATGCTGCATGTCGAGGATGAGAACAAGGGGGAGCAGGAACAGTCCACAGTGGATGGCATTCACACGGCGAACATACCAACGCTGGCCATTGAGATTGTGCAGGAAATGACGCTGCTTTTCGCCGGCGAGCTCATTCCGGTGGCTCCCAAGGCGCAGCGCAAAGTGCCACTGCCCGATGGTCTGGACCTGGATGAGTGGATCAATCCGCCGCCGCCTGAGGATGCGAGCAGCTCATCGTCGGAGCACGACAAGGACGAGCTTTTCGTCAGCTCCACCTACGGACATGTGGATGGCGAAGGAAATGGAAGCGGCACTGGCGCAGGGAAGCGGCGTCAGAGCTTGGAACTGACGCCCGAGCAGCTGGAACGGCAGCGGATGGCGCGTCTCATCGAGCAATCCAATAATCCGCACTATCTGAAGTCTTCGCCAGCCGCCACCGCTGCGGGCAGCAGCAACAACTCCAATGCGGATCAGTATGACAATATCGATGACATCCCCATTACCGAGCTGCCACTAGACATGGAGGGCGTGGCCGCATTACGTGTGGGCGGTGAGTAAATCCTCCCTCACAGATATAGTTATACTTATAATGTATACTTTATAATGTAAATTATTGCAGTCACGAAGCGATCGGACAAGTATCTGCTGCAGGAGCAGGAACATCAGCAGCAGCTGAAGGCGGCTCACAGCAGTCGAGGCAGCAAGGATTCCAAGAAGAAGCATAAAAAGACCAAGAAGAGCAAGAAATCAAAAAATAAAGTAGCCTACAACAGCAGCTCCGAATCGGAGGAAGGTGAGTGGAAATAAGGTTCGCGAGGCCATAAATAAATGGAGAAATTTCCAGACCTTTATTTTTCCATCATCTAATAGATGATAGATTAATCTTTTCAATTCATTTCAACGCTTCAATCTTTTCATCCAAATTATAGAGCCCAAGCCCTTGCATATTGTAAATACAACGCTGGACATGCCTGAAGGTGTAACGATGTCTGACAGCGAGGATAAGGATGGAAAATATGATCCAAATGATCCGCATCGAGCGCTCGATATTGAACTAGATATGTAAGTATAAGCTCTTCCTCTCTCTCTCTCTCGCTCACTCTCCCCCTCTCTTTTGCACCTTTAGTGCCGATTTCGATGGACCAACGACAAAATCAAAAGAGACGTCAAGAAAGAATCTCAAAGCAGCCGAAGACACAGCTACAGCGGCAACAACAACAACAACGGCAGCAGTGACGACGACATCGTCGTCTGGTAAAAAGGAAAAGAAAAAGGATAAGGGCAAGGGGAGGGAAAGGGAGAAGACACGCGAGCATAGAACGCGCAAAGCGCACAAAACGCACGATCTAATCGATACGAATAGTCCCAATAAAACAATAGAAACCACAACAACAACTGCAACAACACCACAGCAAGGCGTCAACAACAACAATAACAACAGTACGAACAACACGTCCACGAATCAACACAAAAAGAAGAAGAAGGAGAAGAGCGAGAAGGGCGATAAGGGGCGAGAAAAAAGCGCGCACAAATCCACAATTGTCGAACCACTGATGGATGTTGATGTGGATATGGATATGCTGCAACAATTGACAGATAATGCCATCGAGTTGCCCGCAACAAAGAAGAAGCATAAAAAGGACAAATCGCAGCACAAGGAGAAGAAGCATGCGAGCAAGAGCCAGCAGCCGAAAGGCGAGAGCTCCTTACTCGACGATTATGAGCAACCGTTGGGCATTTCGACACCCAGCAAAGAGATTTTCTAGGCTTTAATTTCAAAATTGTTTTCCCACCACCACACCACCACCACCACCCACACACTATTATTGAGAAAACGAGATTCGAAAAATTGATTTGAAAAATGTGTTTTGCCGCCAGGGAAAGAAGATCAAGGTGGGCAAAATTTTCCATTTTCTTTTCATTTATAAACGAGCAACAGCAACAAACTAAATGTACCGTTCATTGTTTCCAAATCAATGATTTTAAAAGCAAGCTAGAGACCATAAACACATACATACATATGTCGTTGCTCATACACTAATTCTGAACGGAGGGGACATACATACACACACATATATATATATATATATACAACTATTGTAACTCTATATATATATGTATGTATATATATATAAATACATGTGTATAAAAAGGAACAAGTCTAAAGTAGAAAAAAGAGCTAAGAGAAAGTATACATACTATATTATATATAAACGTTGAATAAACATAAATAACATACATATATGTATATGTATATGCGTAAAGTTTCTACTTACCAACAACAGCAACAACAATCAATAATAATTACACAACAGCATCAACAACACAATTATTGCATAAAATAACTATTTATTTAGAATTTGCTTAGCGTAACTGAGTTTTTTCCATTTGTAAAACGCATGTGTGCTTCTCAAACATTAACAACATTAAAATTGTTCCTTTTGGCTTTTCTTTTTAAAATCGAGCATTCTATATATATTCCGTTTTCCTTTCTACTCGCTCCTCACTTATTTTTATAATAAAATATTATTTTTTAAATATAAGTTCACATGTCATGGCGTTTTAATTCCATTTAATTCCTCTCTTTTTTTGTGCGTGCAATATTGCGTTTTAAATTTAAATAGATTCTACTTTGCGTTAAGAGTATTTAAAAAAAAAAACAGTTAGTGGATAATGGACATGGAACATAATATTAAGTTGAGAAATGCATTTGTGCAATACTTTTTTTTTGTTTTTTGTTAGACGTGGCACATTTGACTGGGGCCGTTGAAGAACTAAAGCTTAGAAGGACGTGACGTGATAGATTAATTCGTGCTCTCATTTTTTAATTCAATATTTTGTGCAACATTTGTAATATACTTCACTGCAATTCTTTGCGTTTGTTTGCTCGTTTGTAAATACTCTTGATTTAATATCTTACACATGTGAAAAAACTTAACAATGTAGCTTGTTGGTTATTTAAGTGCATGCTTACAATCTTTTCTCTGCTTTTCTTATGCTGGAAGCCTTAACAACAACAGCGACTTCGCGACTCAAACTACAAAATCTGACAACAAGCCGAAGTTATGAGTTCCAATTGCTGGTAATGTTGCAAATCCAGCCTTTGTTTCATAATACCATCGCTGCAATTGTGGTTGTTATTTATTAGAGCCTGAAATTTGGTTTGCTGCAGCAACTGTTAGTCGACGATGAGATGTTTGTTCGATTGGGATTGGGTTTCGGATTGAGCTTGGGCCGATTTCGGTGGCAGTGTCTTGTACCCCCGCGTGGTAGAGGCGACGCTCATGCGCATGTGCTCGAAGGTCAGAGGCACGCTGAGGCTGGTGTCCCGCTTCTTGTAATACTCATTGAAGTCCAGACGAGTGCCGAACAACTGCAAGTTTGGATCGTTGCTGGAATTGAGGGCCAGCAGAAAGCCCCGGACTGCCTTCTCGTACGAGGAGGCGATAGTCTCCAGATTGCGACAGGCCGAGTTTACTTTCTGCTGGAAGTTTTTGTATCCCTGGTCTCGATCCATTTGCTGTTCCGCCGTTACACCGAACCGTCCGGCGCGCTCCGAATCGGCAATACGTTTCGCATGCACTTCCCGGGCGTGTAATTCTTTGAAGCACTCCTCATAGAAATGGGACTGCCAATTTTCGAGGCTAATGATGTTGCCATAGACCATCTCCAGATTACGCTCCATATCTGTCATTGTCTTTATGAAGCAACCGACAGTGATGGTGCGCAAAAATTTCTCGTGTGCGTCAAGTATGTCATCCAGTGCGGTGGCTTTCTGCATTTGCTTCTGCAGGTCCACCCAATTACACTCGATGACCTCAAAGAGTACGTAGTATTGCATCTGATGGACAAAGTGCATTATTTCCGATGTAAACAAGTGCAGTCCATAAGAGGCTTTGGCGATTTCACCTTTCATGCTGCGCAGCGCCTGTAACGGGAATAACAATAACGGTTCTGTTAGTTTAAATCATTTGGTATCGCCACCGAAACATATCGAGACTAGAGCTATCGATATCACAAAGCAGATTGGCAGCACTGGACGGAAACATACATCGGACCACTGTTTACATTCGTGATATTGCAGCTTCCTTATCGGCCGTCAGCCGCCTACCGCTTATCAGCAATAAGTCGACGTTATTATAAATTACACAATGTCCCTCTCAATTTTTAAGGATCTACCTGCGGAGCATCCGCGCCATTTGATACCAGAGCTCTGCAGACAATTCTATCACCTTGGCTGGGTCACCGGCACTGGCGGTGGCATGAGCATTAAATACAAGTGCGAAAGCAGTGGATTCTCTACACCGCAAACAATAATATGCATTCATTTCGTAATTCTAGCAATGAAATCTACATAGCGCCGTCGGGAGTTCAAAAGGAACGCATGCAGCCGGAGGACCTATTTGTGCAGGACATGGAGGGCAAGGATCTGCAGTTGCCGCCCGAAATCAAGGGTCTGACCAAAAGCCAATGTACACCACTCTTTATGCTCTCCTACAGACATCGCAATGCCGGCGCCGTCATCCACACACACTCCCAGCACGCTGTAATGGCGACGCTACTCTGGCCCGGTAAAACCTTTCGCTGTACGCATCTGGAGATGATCAAAGGCGTTTACGATGCGGTCAAAGGGCGCTATTTGCGCTATGATGAGGAACTGGTTGTGCCTATCATCGAGAATACACCATTCGAGCGAGACTTAGCTGATAGCATGTATGCAGCTATGATGGAGCATCCAGGATGCAGTGCAGTCCTAGTTCGTCGTCATGGTGTCTATGTGTGGGGTCAGACTTGGGAAAAGGCCAAGACCATGTGAGTAGAATACGCCTAACTAAAGTGGATTCGGACAGATGACCTCCAGAAACATATTTGTTGCTTACAGGTCGGAATGCTATGATTACTTATTCTCCATCGCTGTTGAGATGAAGAAAGCTGGATTGGATCCCGAAAAATTTGAGGCATCGAATTAAGCATTTGTGAAGTACAGAAATAATAAAAAATACTTCGTCCTCGAGACGTGCATCAATTGTTTATACACTATATATTAAGTGATAAATCTATCCCTATAAGGGGGATAGCTTCATTTAAATATGTAGAATATATTTACTAATTTAGTATAATATACTAAATAGCCAGTTTTTTAATACCCCATAATTTAGATTAAGCTCAATAGTTTCATATTTTAATTTACAATGGTCACCCTAAACTATCGCACTTTGCATGTTTAACAGAACACGTTAACAGTTACAGTAACAGCTGTCAACTCAACAGCGCGAGAGTGCGTGAGTGGGAGAGCGTGAGTGACGCATGAAAGCGAAATAAAATCGACGATTTCACGCTATCGGCTCATTATTTGCTGTTATTCCCTCCGAGAGTAAGCAACTTGCGTTCTTTTTTCTTTTGCAAACAATTAAATATACATAAATATATATTAGTTGCGGCATTTAAAACTTACACTATTCCAGTTGACGAACTACAAACAAACAACAACAATATGTCCCTACAATCCGATGCTGTGTTTCAAAAAATTATCGATGGCCTGCAAGACAATCAGGCAAAGGCGAAAGCCGTGAATGGCGTGTTCCTTTACAAGATTACTAAGGATGGCAAGGTGGTAAAGGAGTGGAGTAAGTGAAAAGCAATAATGAACTCAATATGCGCACACTCATACAAAGACAGAACTTATGAGTTCTTTATTTGAACGTGTGTATTTGTGTGGGTGTGCAAAGTTCAAAGTGCGGGCCACAATGTGTGTACTTCGCCCAATAATTTGTCCCTATTACTTACATGGTTTCCCCTTTCCTCCCAGCTCTCGATTGCAAAAACGCCAAGGCCTATGAGGGCCCGGCGCAGGGCATTAAGGTAGACACCACCCTAACCGTTTCGGACGAGGATATGGTTGATATCGCCCTCGGAAAGCTCAATCCCCAGGCTGCCTTCATGAAGGGAAAATTGAAGATTGCCGGCAACATAATGCTGACGCAGAAGTTGGCGCCGCTCCTCAAAACGGACGCCAAGCTTTAAATGGATACAAAATCAGTTTTTAACGCATTCCCGCACCCACAACAACAAAAGCAGCTACAACAAATTCAACTGCAGAACCTTTCCTTATAAATGAGTTTAGATGGAGGCTACTAACAGCTTTTCATAAGTAATGTATGTTTTTCTTTTTTTTTTCTTTTGTACGGGTTACGGCAGTCAAAATGAGAATGTGTGTTTGTATTTTGCATTTTGTACGTACGTATACAAATGTATGTTTATATGTATATGATGAGCACATAACTAGACGATAATACATACATACATATATGTAAAACAATTGCTGTCTTTGCAATGCACAAATCAAAAACGAAAATGGAATCGAGAACGAATAACCAAGCGTCTGTTAAAGGGTTCTATCAAACAACCCATGTATGTACATACATATGCATATATTTATATATGTATGTATGTATGTACATAGGAAGTATCTGAAGTGTGTGCACTTTGAAACGCGAACGGGCTTATCAATTGGCAAAGGGAATTGAAAATATGGGTAACGAGCAGATTGCCCGTTGACCGGTAATCTTCAGGTGGATTAGATTACGCCTTCCCTAATCTTATCCAGATCGTCAGCTTTGCGGAGCAAAAGCTGTATGCTACATGCAAAAGGGTTCAATCTCTTCTCAACATGATTTCCCTTTCATAATTAAACTACACAGCTATGAGGCAATAGAATTGTGTTTTGGAAATAATGTTCGTCTATTTCTGGTCCAATCCCTTCTCTATATGCTTTTCTATTCTGACAAAACTATTTTAATTGTAGGCCCAACTCTGTCTGACTACACATAAGCAGTTTGTCTTTCAATACACACAGACAGACCAATAAAACAAATAGCTTTATCTAATTGTTCAGCATGGATTGGCCCGTAATTCAATTACTTGAGATAAGCAGCCCATTGATTGCCTAACAACTAAAGCCCTCACACAAAGTGCAAGGTCGGATATTAGACTCACCTTGGCATTGCCCATTTGCTCCTTCCATATCTTCATGGAGAGTAAGAACTCCATGTGCTTCATGCGCCAGAGCGGTTTGAAGAGGATCTTGTATGTGGACATTGTGGGCTCCAGCATGGTGGCCAATGGACCCTGGACCGTGTATTGCAATGAGATGACGTCCCAGCCACAATCACCGGGGTACGGTGTTTTGACCACAATATCCAGATGATTTAGTACCTCGGGATCATCGTATTGGGCGTTGGTGCAACGCAAAGCGGCGTCCAACATAGCGGATAGATCGTGTGAGTAAATTTCGCTGCCCTTTTTCTCCAGCTCCTCTCTGTAAAGCAACATAAAATGCATAAGTTAGAGGATAAGCCTTTGAGAGGATAAGTGATGAAAAGACGCACTTCATGTTCTCGATTAGTATGCCAACAAAATCGCCTTGGCCAAGAAGCAAATAGCGTCGCATGCCGTGCAGATGATCAAGCAGTTTGTGTGGTCCCACCATCATGTCTAGAACATGCTTGGAGGTTTGCTGATAGCAGGTCTCCATGGCTGCATGCCATCTGGTGTCTTGAGCGTATGAAAAAATGTCAGCAGCTGTTAGAAAGAAAAGCTTTGGTTAGAGATGCAGGCCCAATAGTTTCTTATTCTTATAGTGCCCACCATTGTTTTCCATAATTTCCTTCAGCTTTTCACGCCCCTTGACCAACTCCTGCATCTCACATATCTCGCGCAAAAAGTTAATACTTTTGCCCGTCTTTAGTATCTTGTCGGCTATGTCGAGTGAGAAAAATTTGGGCAGCATGTTGTGGCGCAGCCGGAATTTGTCATGCCACAAACGATCGGCGCCAACCTCGGGTAATGACTCGACAAAAAACTCGCCATAAGTATCGTCAATATTGCCCTCGAGCATCCAATTGGAGATCATTCGTACCAGTGGTTTACAAATGGCGGCCAGTACCTCTACGGCCACCACATCGACCTCATCTCCACCATGTCCCAAGAAATCATACACCACCGACGCCAGCTCGCCACCTTTTCGCATCTGACAAGCGTCAGCAATCTTGCTTAGCCATTGCATCCGCTTCAGATGTACTCCGTACCAGCCCATCAATCGGACCAGCGTTATATCGTCACGCCTTCGGTTTAGCCAGGTTTTGTCGCGGCTGATATAGTCGCGCATCTGCACAGCACGAAACTGATTCATTTCGTCCTGGAGGCGTGCAACTTTGCCATGAAATAAGGTCAGTTCATCGTTCAGTTTTGAGATGAGAGACTGGCCCATACAGCCCATGGCATTGTAACCGGTGGCTGTGTTGGCGAATTGGACCACCCGATCATAATAATAGCCCAGTTCTGCGAGACGCAACAACATGCTAGACTGGGAAGCTGTCAACGCCTTTTGGTGTAATGGGTTCAACTTGAAACGTCCTGAGATGACATCTTTCTTTAAATATCGTCCCTGTATGCCAATGAAGGCGAACACCGCGTTTTGTGCCAAATCGTGCTCAGCCTCAAAGTCTTTTTGCTTCTTCAGAACCTCCATGTAATTGGGCACACCTTGTTTGCTCAATCCCATGCCAGCCTGAGACGCATCGTAGCTATAGATTTGACCACCAGGGCCTTTTCCATTTATCTCCGGCGGCATATTGCCATTCGTCGTGAATGTGCTAAGTTGGCTATTATTGGTGTTAATGCTCGTATTGCTATTGGCGTTTAGAATCAGGTTGTTGTTCAGGCCATTCGATTTAAGTGCCAGCTTAGCCAATTGTGTTTGAACCAATATGCCGGGCACATTGCAGCTGCTCAATGAATGATATCGTGTGTTAAATTCCTTTTGCAGTGACTCGGTGGAGGGACGTTCTTCCGTAACCGCACCACGTACTGAGCACGTACCAGCAGGAGCTCTGCTCGATGATAGCACGGGCGCTGAGTCACCATCCGCTATACATAGCAAGAAGTTAAGCAAATTTTGGCGCTTTCTCGTATCGATTTGCTATATTATAGATGGAACGACGTAAGCTTAATTAAAAGAATTACACAGTGAATATTTTACTTACCTCATCGGATAATCTCTTGTAGACCTTATAAAACAAATCTCCTGGTTTCTGCGCATCCTGTGTATGTGCTTTGGAATTGAGAGTATCCATTATTTTTTGCAAACACTCCTGCTCGGAGAGTACCGGAAGGTTTTCAAAGGCATTTGGGCTCTTCGATATATACTGTGCAGCATGTGCCACGTACTGAACTGTGGAGGGAACCAGAGGAGACGGAGTGTATAAATTGGGGGATGCGAATTTATGATGCAACTTCAAAATGTCCTTACTTCTCCGCAGCTCGTCTTGGCCGCTGCCCTTGATATGTTCGCATAATTCGCGCAGCAGGTTCATAATCTTTTTGGATATAATCTTAGCCCCAGTTTCGTCATCGTTAGAGCAAACGGCGGCGGCGGCAGCGATAGCAGAGCCTTCGACACCACCTCGGAATTGCCTGCGATGCTGTGACATCTTGATGAATTCTCAATTGACTAAAACTTGGAACTGAGACTGAGTTAATGGTTACCATTAGTGTTAAGTAATTAACATTAATACTATGGGCTGATGGCACACATATATTATTTAGCGCGCGCGCAAATCAAACAATAAACCTAACGGAACATAAATTTGGCTCGAATGCAAACAACTGTGCGTCTATGTAGGGCTATTTCATTCTCACATGCAGCACTTCTTGTTTCCATCAATAGGGCTTACCTTCACATGCATAAACTATGCATTGGCATATAGATATTTTTATTTTATGGATCTATTCCGCGCAATTTCGAGCAAATAAATGTGTACAATTGGCCTCTCCAAAATATATTAGGTACAAAGAATAAAACAAAAAGTGGCAGTGCTGCCAACGTTTTGTTAAAAGTGGCATCGATAAAAGAGCAAAATCGTTTCCTCGTTATCGCTATGGTGATTTAGTGCTGCACACTGCAAAAATATATGTTGATTGAAAGCCAACAATGCAAATAAGCATAATACCGAACAAACAGGGAAATAAACTAAATCGCAACTCCATAGTTGGTCGGTGGTAAATAATTAAGAGTGCAGGTAATGTCAGTAATGGACATTTGTTGGGAGTCAAAACTTTTCAAAGCTACGTGTGCATATTAAAGCAGCCGATAAACAACCATCAGCGTGTGCCGCACCGGCATATTCTTTAGCCAAGACTATGAGCGTAGATGTAGGAAGCGCTGGCGGCGCAACAGCAAAAGCGAAAAGCGTCTTAACATGGGAAAAACAGGAGCATCTTGTCAAATTGGCCATACTTATTTTGGCAGCCGTTCTGTGTGAGTATTTATGTATATTTACATATTTATATAAATTTGTTTGTAACTTGCCGGGGTCTGGCTGACGCGGCGCATATGTATGTGGGCGTGTTTATATACATGTATATGCATATACATATGTACGTATGTTTGTGTGAGTGTGCTTTCATGTGGGAGGAAATATTTGCAAGGTTCAACGTCAACATATGTACATAAGGACATAAAAGGACTTAAACGGCTTGTTGGTTTCATTGTGCATTTCCTAACTTTTATACTTGACACAATAAATTACTATGGTCGATTTTTTAAAACAAGTCATAGAGCAAACCGTCCCTGGATTGTTATCGCATCGAAATTTGTTAGTAATCGTGTCATCGCGCTTAGCTCTCGCGCGCTTCACCATGCTTCACCATCTGACTATCGGTGATCGTCCACTTTCGTTCTGCTTTCAGCATTCGCCACACGTTTATTTTCGGTGCTTCGATTTGAGAGCGTTATCCATGAGTTCGATCCATATTTCAATTACCGCACTACGCGGTTTTTGGCAGAACAAGGCTTTTATAAGTTCCACAATTGGTTCGATGATCGGGCCTGGTATCCGCTGGGCCGCATTATTGGCGGTACCATTTATCCTGGTTTAATGGTAACGTCGGCGGCACTGTATAGAATCATGTGGTTGCTCAACATAACCGTGGATATACGAAATGTGTGTGTATTTCTGGCGCCGTTCTTTTCATCACTCACCACACTAGTCACCTATGCGCTGACCAAGGAGATACACGTGAGTATGCAATCTTGGTGTTCTAGGTTATGGCGAGCACGTGGCGGTCGTTACTAATCAATACCAATTCTTTTAATTTACTTTATTCAGAGCACGGGAGCTGGTCTGGTGGCTGCGGCGCTTATCTCCATTGTGCCCGGCTATATATCCCGCTCCGTGGCCGGTTCCTATGACAATGAAGGCATTGCTATATTCTGCATGCTCTTCACGTACTATTTGTGGATCAAGGCGGTGAAGTCGGGCACTATATTCTGGTCGGCCATGTCGGCGTTGGCCTATTTTTACATGGTGTCTTCGTGGGGCGGCTACGTGTTCCTAATCAATCTTATTCCGTTGCATGTATTAGCATTGATGTTCACGGGGCGTTTCTCGCATCGCATTTACATTGCGTACAGTACGTTATATTGCGTTGGCACCATACTCTCCATGCAAATATCGTTCGTGGGCTTTCAGCCGATACAAAGTTCGGAGCACATGCTGGTGAGTTTGAATGCGACCAAATGGAATTTTCGTTCCTCCAATGATGATTACTTAATGTAATTCTTGATAGGAAGAGTATGATACATAATGAGTACTATACACCTAGCTGATTCTACGTCTATGTTTAACTACCTTGTTGTCGGTTAAGTATCAGTAGATTAATATATTGTCTTTTTTATGTGCACTTTTAGGCCCTGGGCGTCTTTGGACTGTGCCAGATACACGCTTTCGTCGACTATCTGCGCTCCCGCATGCCGAAGGAGCACTTTGATGTGCTCTTTAAGACGCTGGTCTCCAGCGTGCTCACTGTGGTGTTACTTTTGGGCACGGTGCTTACCATTACTGGCAAGGTGTCACCATGGACGGGAAGGTTTTACTCCTTGCTGGATCCCTCATATGCCAAGAATCACATTCCAATAATTGCATCAGTTTCTGAGCATCAACCCACATCTTGGTCGTCCTTCTACTTTGATCTGCAGGTATGTGTCGACAGTCTTTGTCAAATCTATATTGTTTTGTTGCTGATGACGCACTTAAAATGTAATGAGTGCGCCTTAATGTTCGTGGATTGCTTCTGTTGTCCATCACCCAGTGATTACATGCACTTTGATCGCTGAGACAGTTAACAGCGTTAGATCTGATTTGCCGCTAGTTGTATGCTAATTCCAAATTTGTTTTCAGATCTTGGTCTTTCTCTTTCCGGCGGGCTTGTATTTCTGTTTCTCCAAACTAACTGATGCCAATATATTTATCATATTATATGGTGTGACAAGTATTTACTTTGCGGTATGTCTATCGATACTAACATTGAACTCCATTTTATTTTAAGTAATGTGATCATTCTCTTTTGGTGCAGGGCGTGATGGTGCGTCTGATGCTGGTGCTGGCGCCTGTTATGTGCGTGCTTTCGGGCATTGCCATCTCACATCTGTTGGCAAAGTATATCAAGAGTGTGGATGCAGTGGCGCCAAAGCCGACAGAGAGTAAGCGACAGCACAAGAAACTAGAGCTACAGAGTGGTGGGGTGAAGAGTGAAGTGGCCATTGGTTTTGTGACGACCATAACGTTAATGTTGGTGGTTTACACCTTCCACTGCACTTGGGTGACCTCAGAAGCGTATTCCTCGCCAAGCATCGTACTGAGCGCGCGTTCCCATGATGGTGGACGCATTATATTTGATGATTTCCGAGAAGCATATTATTGGCTACAGATGAACACGCCTGAGGTACGTTAATCCTTAACATCGTCCCACCCGATTTATCATTTTGTGATGAATGCAATTTGTAATTCTTGATAGGAAGAGTATGAACATAATGAGTACTAACAATAGAAGCTGACTCGTCTATGTCAGACAATAAGAACAATTGGTTGAACCAAATGCCTTAATTTTGTGCTATTCTCTTTTTTCAGGATGCTCGTATCATGTCCTGGTGGGATTATGGCTATCAGATAACAGCGATGGCCAATCGCACGATATTGGTTGATAATAATACATGGAACAATACTCATATATCACGCGTTGGTCAGGCCATGGCCTCATCAGAGGAGAAGGCATATGAGATAATGCGCGAACTGGACGTGGACTATGTGTTGGTTATTTTTGGTGGTCTCACCGGCTACTCGTCAGATGATATTAACAAGTTCCTTTGGATGGTGCGCATTGGCGGCAGCACCGATCGTGGAGCCCACATCAAGGAGAAGGACTATTATGCGGCCAATGGCGAGTTCCGTGTGGACAAGGAAGGCTCTCCTACTTTGCTTAATTGCTTGATGTACAAAATGTGTTACTATCGCTTTGGACAGATGTACACGGAGGGTGGCAAGGCGCCTGGCTACGATCGGGTGCGTGCTGCAGAGATTGGCAACAAGGACTTCGAGCTGGATGTGCTCGAGGAGGCCTACACCACTGAGCATTGGCTCGTCCGTATTTATAAGGTCAAGGATTTACCAAATCGTGGTGGTTAAATGCAGTTCTAAACTTGCAGACAGAGCTCTCTACTTTCCTAAAATCTAACACACTCAGCCTGCGTTTGCCTGTCGGTTTCGCTTTATTCTTCTCTGTTTAGCTTATTTGTTGACCGCTTTGGGTATTCAATTGTAAATCTCATCGTGTCTCCTTAGCGAACGAATCGTTAAATGTATGTATTTAGATCGTAAAACAACAATAGTATCGTCGCATTTAAAAATCTCCCAAGTCGGCATTTATCGAGGATTTATTACGATTTTGTATTTTATGCTCGCTGACTGCTTGCAAAAATCTCTGCCTCAGTTGAGTGTTTTTTTTTAGTTTGGTGTAAAAAAAAAATCACAACAAAAAAACCATAATCCTAAAATAAGCAACAAAGTGAATCATACGAATAAAAATCTGATTAAAAATTGTAACCGCGACTTCACCGGCTCTTAATCGAAGCAATTGATCGCGCGTTGCTGCCAGTTCTGGAGTGGCGAACAAGTCTAGAGATAGCTGAACTTATTATAATGCTGATAAAAAGTTGACGCTTCATTGTTTTCATTCCCATGAAGAAGGTAAGTGCTTCAACTCCGTAAACTCGTTCGTTTCATTGATCCAAGATAAGTCCGCTCCAATCAGTCTTTGCTGTTCACCGATTCCTATTAAGTATTGCAACAGATTGATGTGGCACGTTATGAAATTTAATATCAATTTTCAGACCACTCTTTAACCCATATATTATTGCAATTACTGTTGTAGTGGTCTGATCTGGTTGGTCCTAAGCCCTCCTGCTTTTCCGTTTCTGTGGTGTGAAAGAAGTCTGTTCCAATAAGCTTCACCTATACTTGACGTACTTGAAAGAAATGTTTTCTACTACTATATCATATCATTCCGATCACTGTTAAATGATATAGACCTGGTCGGTCTTGTTGGGTTTTTGCAATAGGCTACAAATTCAATATGCGGGTATGAAGAAACAATTTTATAAATGAAATCTTATATTAGAAACACTGTACAGGGGTTTGGATATAAAAACCACCACATATTCCACGATGTCTAAAGATTTACTTTTTATTTTTTGCGATACTTATTAAGAAAAAAATACTTCATATAAAAAATTGCATGCAAATATCGTTAAACATAAATCGGTAGGCTTTAAAATTACTGCACTTAGCGGGCATCTATACGATATTACTGGTATGTTTGGGTCACGGAGATATTTGGAAGATTTGGAGAGGGGGCGGCAACTAGTGTACGCCGTTTGTGCCATTTGTGCCGGCAGTAGGACCGGCAGCGATATAAGAAGTCACATCAAGCTTGGTGGCTAACGACTTGATCTCATCCTTGCCGGCGGCGCTCTTGCCAATGATGAGGACACTGGGATCCACCTCCAGAATGCGCGCTAACTTTCCCATAATTTCAGTTTCTGGAAGACGAATAATGCGCTTATTCAACGCCTTTGATGCTGGTTCGTGTTGCTGGCGATTCATGCTAACGATCTGATTGAGGAGCGTCTCCTGGCCGACCACTCCCAAAACGGATCTGCAACGAGATATACATAGATTGCATAATTTCAATAATACTAAGTATATAGAAGGGGCGAGGTACCCACCCATTATCAGCATCGACCATGGGCAGTTGATCGACACGATGTTTCTTCATCAGAGCAATGGCCTCGGAAAAGGTGGCGTTCGACTTGAGCAAAGCTAATGGAGCAGGCAGCTTGACATCCTTCAGCTGGGTATTCCACCACCAGTGCTTGTGCTCGTTGACGATCTCTTTGAAGCCGCGGGCCTCCATCCAGTTGTCCGAGACGAACTTTGTCATGTAATTGCGTATGCCATCCGGCAGGATAATCACACATCGCTGACCTTCCTTTAGCTTGCGAGCATGCTCCAAGGCGCCAAAAACTGCGCCGCCACTGGAGCCGCCACAAAGGAGGCCCTCATCGGCATTCAAGCGACGGCTCATCGGAAAGCAATCGGCGTCCTTAATTTTGATCCAATCATCGACCACAGACGGATCAAATACCGTCGGATTGAAATCATAGCCGATGCCCTCCACCTCATAGAACTGTATGTCGGTCTTGTTGAGTGAGTCGGGACGGGCCAGGACCGAGCCATAGGGATCGACGCCAACCACCTTACAACTGGGCACCTCCTCCTTGATTTTGCGTCCTATTCCACTGATCGTACCCGCCGTCCCTGCCGTGACCACCACCAGGTCGACACGATTGTCCAGTTGCCACAGAATCTCGGCTCCAGTGCCATCGTAATGGGCCAGGGGATTGCCCGCATTACGATACTGATCCAGCACTATGGAATTGGGAATTTCGCGTTGCAGCTGCTGGGCCACATAGATGAGACCTTCGGGCGAGTCGTACGCAGCCTCTGTGGGCGTGCGTATAATCTTGGCACCGAGAGTACGCAAGGCGTAGACCTTCTCATTGGACATCTTCTCGGGCATGACGATGACGCACTTGTAACCCCTCACCGCACAGGCCATGGCCAAGCCAATGCCCGTGTTACCCGATGTCGGCTCTATAATCGTATAACCCGGTTTCAGCAGACCCTGCTCTTCGGCATCCAACACCATGCGATAGCCAATGCGATCCTTGACCGAACCACCGGGATTCAGGAACTCGCACTTGGCATCTGCAAAGGGTAAGATTTAAAAAGTTCACATATCTGTATAAAATAGTTTTGTGTTCAGGGAATGTTCCATTTGATTTGTCCGTCCTGCACCCCATTAAACAAATTCTATATAACTTTTTTGATATACATATGTATGTAAATATATTTATATGCATTTCTAAGTATATGCTTCATCAGCATGACTAGACAGTTTATATGAGTGTTCGGATCAGAACAGGTGGGGCCTGCTCTTATCGGTTCGCAGACCAGGCTATTAATAGACCCCATGCAAGCTGTAAAACACATAGACTGACTTTTTGGGCTTAGAAGATCAATTTTGAACATTAAATCTCTCGATCGTGACTAAATATAAATTGGATGCTTGCTAAAAAATGATTGATAAGAGAAACAAGTCTTAATGCTTTCCGATCTCATAAATGATCCTCTCATATGACTTTATTAACGAGTCTTTTGTAGGAGAACGCGATTCCTTGAACAGTTTTTTCAGAGATATTCGGTTGTGATCATAAAGACTCCCAAACTTCAACATGTATTCCTTGTTTAAATTGTTTTGTAGTGCAAAGAAAAGCAGAATATTTATAATATCCTATAATTGGTTGAACTGATATTTGCAATTCTTTAAATATTGGTTTGAGGAATGGAAAGGTTTGCGTTTTCGAATGCCGAATTTTCGAGTAGCAGGGACAGTTTTCATTTATTGGATTGGTTCCACACTTATAAACATCACATTTGATATTTTGAAGAATATTTTGTGTAGTCCGAACACTTAAAGGATTCTGTAAGAGATCTCTGATAGAAGGGAACAATTCTTAAATCCCTCGAAGCTTTTAATATAGTTGGCACTTTGTTAAACACTTGTGATGTTTGACTTTTGAATTGGTTCATACTTACAAACTTCACATTTGATGCCCTCCTGAAGGGGTATTTTGTTGAGGCGAACGAGGGGCGTACATCCAATGACTTCCAGTATGTTGGGAGTGATCTTCTGGCGATGTGCAATGCCGCGTGGCGTGTGCGGGGACTTCTCCTGGCTATCCAGATGCCATGTGCACTTCGATGGCTTGCCGGGGTCGATGAAGTCGGCGGGTCTCTGATACGTCTTGTTGGCCGACATTTCTGGATGCGTAGACTGTGGGGCTGTAATAAAAAAAGTACAAGGCGGTCACTTAGGCTTGTAATCCGGTCGAGCACGTTCTTCCGGCTCCACTTTCGACAGTAAACTAAACGATCTCCGAGATACTCTCGGCATTATTCGCTGTACGTAGTTGGGGTTGACGTTTACGGGTTCGATGGGGTCAGCTGGCACTAAGCCCGCGCTATCAACAATTTAATTTTTTTTACACAGGCACACTTCGATTGTCTTGGGGTTTTGTTAAATTCGGTTCTAAGATAAGCGTTGGGAGGCATGTGCGCTCGAGGCGCCTCTCTATATATACTGAAGGTTAAGGCAGATGACGTTGTTATAGGTATTATTATTATTCTTACTGTTGTTATTGTCACATGTCATTTCCTCAAGCCTAGGTTATTATTTTCGTTTTCAAGGCCCCACCAACACTTCAAACAGATGTTGCAGCTTCGCACCATCGACCTAAACACCCTAATAATCGGTCGATAGATACTGTAAGCAGCGAATAAACTCTATACTTTGTTCAGCCACAAACTAAAGAGTGAGTTTTCGAAAGGTTCCATTAGTTAGTAAGCCAAAAATCATAATGGAACCATTCTTTTAACTGGCATTTGGAGAACATATTCACTTTTGTGTAAATAGCTTGACAATGTTAAAGCAATATTGGTTAATATACTTGTATTGTACTACTGAGTTTACTTTCTTAAAAGACATCCCCAGAACGAGCATTTCAGAGTTTATTTTAGGATCACTAAGCTTTTCTTTAGATGTTCTTCAGAACATAGTTTTTTCTCTTAATAGGATCTTGAGAGGTCTCATGCTTTTTTTTTTTGGAAGTGCCTTCAAGTTTATAGATTTCTTCTGTTCTAACTATTAATATTTGTATTTTGTATTAGGCCTTTAGTTATTTTCTTCAAAAGAGTTCTATTCAAGACAAACATATACTTTATAATGTGCGAGTATTATATTCTATTACTTAATTCGTTTTTGTGTAGCTATTATAGGTTTTTTATAGTTATCATCAAACCCTCGGGAACTGCTCGTTGACTAGGCCAACACAAAAAATTGCCAAGTCAGCAGTTTTGCAAATAAATATAATTAAGCCGAGCATGTTGGTATGTGCATGTTAAGTCCGATGGGGAGCAACATAATAATATTAATAATAATAATATTAATAGGAGGATGGTGAGAACTTACTGGTTACGTCATAATCTACGTGAACTCTGATGTGAGCATAAGAGGGCTGTGTAAGAGATTCTGTCAAATAGATGCAAACGCAAACTTGGAAGAAATATTTGTAAAATACCGTCAAACTATTCGTTATAGGAATTCAAATCGATGGACGATTTGAATTTTATGATTAGGATAGCCGTTCTACATGCACATTATATTAGAATATTTCCATTTAACAACAAAAGTCTTGTTCAGTATAACTTTTTTTTCGGAGTTCCCTTTTATTGAAGCACTTTTTCGAAAAAGTTCTGCAAGCAAACTTGGTCGTCGGTTATTCCCTCAACTGATTTACATAATAATTAATTAATTAATGTAATAGATGCTTACAGGTGTGTCATAAGTTCTGTAATAGAGAAATTGATCCAACGCTTGACTTAAGTTTTGTTATTACAATGGCCGTCCGTCCTCCCTGAAGGAAACAAAATTGCGGCCTGCTTATTAGTTGGATACTATTTAATAACCGAAGTGTATTTAAAGTTGAAACTTCTATCGAAATTCAATATATATTCTACAATAAAAATAATAAAATATTTTGCCAAAGTGCTGGAAACAAACTTTTCAAGATACGGTCCCATTATTCGTAAGAAGGGAAGTCAGACCGATGCCTGACCTAAATGGTATTATTAGGATCGCTGTTGGCCCTGCAGTAAATAATATTCCGGTTAGAGCAACAAGATATGTATGTTTAATACGAGTATTGATGTCATCTATTACAATTAAAATCAGTTGCTTTGGTAGAGAGACATGCGTCTTTTTAGCAGACACACTCACACTTACACACGCCAATCTATGCAGATTGACAGTTTCGTGAAGTAGTTGCCGTCTATATTGGCATCTAATATGTAGTTGTTTGCACTCGTATATTCAAATACATAGGCACGTGTTATGTATTCGTACTTTTTAAGGTTGTGAGCATCTGGTGGAGTGCGCTATTCACACAGACGGCGACTGGGGCAGGTTCGGACTGAGGTTGAATGCGGACGATGAACCTAATGGCGAATACTCTATTTCGATGCTTTCCTTTCCATATTACTTACGTGGCAAAATGTTCGCGTATTTTAAATCCTTGAATCAAAACACAAAATCCGAAAACATATGTGAGTTTAATTTTCTTTTTTCCACTGTTTTTTTTTAGTTTCGAACAACAACCGCCACGATGCTGCCAACGACAACTAAAATGTGGCGCTGTTGAAGCAAAGCCGGTGATGTCTCGTCGTCCCTGCAGTTCAGGGGCTATCTCTTATCTACTCAGTGCACTGGAGCCAAGGTAAAGAAACTAGTTCCGGTACCTTGAAAAGATTCGCAATGGATTACCACAGTTACTAGTGCTTGTCTGTAGCTAGTGAATGCATCGTTACTAGAATTTAAAACGGATTTATTGCGATTATGTGCTTAAACATTTGGTAAGTTCGTTTGGTTTTTAATATTTATTTGATAAATCCCTTTTGAGAAATTATTCAGAACTATTTAAGTCAATTTTATTCCTGATCTCTTAGTTTGTTACACTCCCATCATCTCTCAAAGTCAATACCCAACTCTCTCTAAAAAATATGTAGGTGGTTTTTGGAGTTTTAAATACAATTGTACAGCAATTGGGACAGACAGGCAGTCATTGCTAAATCGACTCGCCTTGTCGGGCCAGTGAAGTATATACCTTGTGAGGCCTGCCACGCCTCCTTTTGCCTGTTACATTTTTTACTTTGTACAAACAAGTCCTGCAGAGGGTATAAATAGTACATACAATATGTACATATAATCGTCGTAAGCTAAAAAATGTAGCTAGGTTAGGAACCAGTGTAACGAGCAAGCCACCAGTTTATGGCTGCAGGGCGGGCCCGCTTACGTCGTTTTATGGGTGTGCGAGTGGGACATCAATAAGAATGGCAAGTAAGAACCGGTTGTGTGTGAACCGGCAGCAGTCACTCTAAAACTGTACACATCGCATGTTAACATCAAACTGTAGCACCAGATTTAATAAGCCAACAAATATGAAAATATAAATGTTTACCTCTACATAGAAACGTATGTATGTACGTGTATAAAGAGAGTACTAATTGTAAATCTAGAATGCAGCTGCCACCACCTGTAAGGCCATGTAGGCGGTGCTTCCGAGAGCCACAAAGAAAGCGAGGGCGCGAGCCGGCTGTGGCACCACAACAACGGCATAGACCAGAGTGTGGACAATGCGAGAGATGCCCACGGCACGGAATAGATTGACGGCCAGAAAGGTGCTCGGGTTGGTCAGTGTGTAGAGGAGTCCAATGATGAAGAAGGGCAGAATGTTCTCCAGATCGTTGCGATGGGCGCGACGCACACGCTCCACATCGGGATCATCGAATTTGACTTTGAGTTTGGGCGACATCAAGTCCTCGGGGTTGGCGAAGGTCTGCAAATGAATGACATTCCGTTAATCTATTTTCACCTGTACAGTTAACTTTCACCGCACAACTAGCCGGCAGACTTTGACCCGTGCAGTCCCCTCCCTTTTGCCCAAATTGTCACCTTTGTTTTAAAGCGCTTTACTGCGGTCAAGGCGCTCATGGCAAACATTTTCAGCACCAGAACTCCTGTCCAGAACACGTAGGTCCTGAAGACCACATTATTAAGGTTCAATAGTTCCACAACAGCCATGTTTTCTGATTCTATTATGCGGACTTCCAAATGTCAACTATGTGTTCTTCTCTGCTGCGTCGCGCGAGTTCAACTGACGTGAGCGAACACACGATTTTTATACGCCATGCCGCATGTTTATGCTGTGCTCTCTTTCCCGCTCATTGATAAGGCGGCAAGGCAAGGCGGCCCTCTGCAAAGCTTTGGCGCACTCAAAAGCTCAGCCGGCAACCGAACGCCGTGAAACACGGCTTTTTGAACACTCTTCACTAAACGCGTGCATGCGATACGGGAACAGGAAAGTGTGGGCAAATGTTTTATAGCTGATCAGCATGACGGAGCAATTTTTTGAATGCAAAATAACGGGTATTTGCTTAAACGCAGACGTTTTTTTGCGTCTAACATTGGTAGCTAACTCTATTCCGGTATTTGATTAAAAATCGCCTTCTCAAATAGTTAATTCCGCTGCCAAATTCTCACAAAATTCACAAAAATTACTCTTCGAAATTTTAAGAATACTTGTAGTACACCCATAAATGGGTATATTTGAGTGTAGGGCATCCCCTAGTCTTGCGCACGCTGTGTTGTTAGCAGTTAAAAAACTGCCTGGTCAGAATGACTGCGACCTAACGATAATAATTGAAAAGCTTACCGCTTTTATGAAACGCCACAGACCAGTCAAAATGCTCATCGCGAACATTTTTAGGGTCAGCACCCCGCACCACCAAATGTAAGAGCGGAACACTACGTTCTCCATCGAAATGAGTTCTCCGTCTAACATCTCTAGCAGTGGATTGGATTGTCGTCGTACTTGTACTTGTTCTCTGGCGCTTTGTTGTTCGCGGACTGGGAGCTGCAGTCGCTGCACTTTTCTATATGTACTGACTATTCGCTATTATTAAGCTTCCAGACAGGGGGTTGTCAGACCTGATAACCCCCCGACAGCCACAACTAACCCATAACATCTAGTTTTCAAATGCGTTAACAACAGCCAGTTGTTTGATTATATACATACATACATAATATGTATGTATTTATACCCATTAGAGCCATTTATTTTTTACGAGCATATGTATATTGAGAAAGAGAAATACGAGGTTGGAGCTAGAAGTTGTTAGCCCTATTTAATTGGTTTTGTCTTTGAACTAAAACTCCACATGACGTCATTATACACATTGATATTTTTATTTTATTTCCACTACTTATACACAAACTAAGGCAACGTATAATTGTGGAGAATTGGCGAACAATTTATTTCCTTAACGAAATTATCGATTCCGACTTTGCTAATTATTCCAAAAACGTTTAAGCCAGCCCTAGACATCCAAGTTTAAAATTAGATCTGCTGACGGCATTTCTCACTGGGATCGGAAATCTAAACTCCGCTCGATGCAGAAGGCGCGAATAAATTATAAATAACTTTCAAAAAAGCTTTGCCGATCATAAAAAGTAGAATGGAATGCCAGTTACTTTGCTTGAAAGATCAAAGTTTCAATTTGTTATTTATATTACGAGTACGTGCCATGTGGAAAATAATTAAATACAAGTATGTCTTGAAACAACGTGAGAAAAGATGAATATAATCAAGCTTAAAAATCTAGTTATCATTTCGCTCATATACGAGTAATATGTATGGAGATACGTCAGAGATAATGCATATGTCAGAGCCGCTGTTTCCGGCAGACACATTACGACATCTTTAACTTGGCCTGTCGCAAATAGGTAAGACCAGGTTGTTTCAATTCAATTGGATTTAGTTGGTGTTCCATACCCTCCACTCCGTCACTCTCTCCTTGATTCCTTTTTGTTGTTGTTCCAACTTGATTCGCGATTGATACAGAATTTGATCCTTAACGCTTCCTTATTGCCATACCCAAACAATTATAGTTATACTATTGTCACCTACTTTTACCATATTGGGGTCCCGTTTTGTCAGGCGATGAGGAAATTGCACTCTTCTAAGTACATCTAACATAAAGTTATTCCCTAATGGTTTCTTTTCGTTTGACACCACGACAGATATACTAGTTATAGATTGTCTTATCCGTGCTCCTGCCACTGCTTTGAGGCCTAAAGTCTCAACAACTATTCCCAGTGGTTGCGTCTAATTTTCGTAACATTGTTACTATTTTACGATATTGTGGGTCGATTTGGGCAGTTTTGTCATCTCAACTGTGCACTTAAATATAAACAAGAAAGGAATGCTAAAGTCGAGCAGGCTCAACTCTTAAATACCCTGTACCACCCCACAAAAAAGTAATTAAATTAATTAATTAATTAAATTAAATTAATTAACTAAATTAATTTAATTAATTAACTAAATATTAACTAATTATATATAAAATATTCCATGCATGCATACATACATTTACATCAGAATCGTGCCTTATGCGTGTTTGTGTACTTGTACATATGTATGCATGTGTGCATTGGGCCTGGTTATATGGCTATAACTTTCTTTCCGATCATTCTATCATAATGATCAAAATTCCAAGAATTACGGGAGTTATAGAAAATCATTAATAGGGGGGGAGTGGGGGGGTGGATCAGAAAAAATGAACAAACTCGTCCTTTCTCGGTCTCAGGAGAATCTGTATACCAAGTTTGGTTATTCTAGCTCTTATACTTTCGGAGATCCTTGCGTTCATACAGACAGACGGACAGACAGACGACGGACATGGCTATATCGACTCGGCTTGTCATGCTGATCAAGAATATATATACTTTGTGGGGTCTACCAAGCCTCCTTCTGTGTGTTCCATGTGCACTCGCACAAAACTAATATACCCTTGTACCCTTTGGGTACAGGGTATAAAAATAATTTTGATAACTTTAAGGCTTTTCCAGTATCAAATACAGTTTTAATTCCGTTTAGCTGTTTCCGAAATGCAGGCGTTCATCCAGACAGACGGATTCGAATTGCCTGGGTATTAGGAGTCTACTAACCAAGTTTCGTCGAACTGGGCTTAGCCGTTTCGTTTATCCGGACAAACGGAATAAATATGAGCACTTTATGGGGTCGGAGATGCTTTTTTCTGCCAGCTTTTCATTTGCATTTGAATTTTGTGACGAGCAGTTGTTTGTTGTTTACTTGTAAAAACAAGCAATATATGTAGACATTTTTTGTGAAAATGGATAATTGCTTAAGATAAGAAATAATGTCAGTCATTCATTTTCTTTAATCGAATAAAAAATACTTTACATATATACGAATTTAGGAAGTAATGTTATTATTTTTATTCTAATGGATATAGTAAGTATGCATTATCAATTTAAGGAACTTGCCATATATGCAACAATTAAAAGTATTGGGTGCCCTCCTCCGCGTGAGGTACATGCAAAAATTAATTCCAACCGAGTTGGCGGCGGCCATTTCTCGATGCTGAAACCAGCGTTGTCTACCAGGTAACCATAAATGAGGAGTAGGCAAGTGCATTGATTGTTTATTTAATACTGAGCAGCTGATTTTTGTTTACATTTCGGGATGCACCGTAGAGATCGCTTTGTTTACAATTGAAATATAACCAATAGGAGAACTCCAGTTTGTTTACTTTTCAAACTCCAGCTGATTTTTGCTTGTGTTTACAATGCAGCTTGTTTACATTTCGCAATGCACCGCAAGGAATGCTTTGTTTACATTTGAAGTGCGACCAATAGGAGAGCCCCAGTTTGTTTACTTTTCCAAAGGCACCGTTAGGATCGTGCAGCCATTGTGAACTAAAGCTTTTTGCGTTCATTCACAATGTAACTTCCACCCAGCTTTTTTACTTGCTGCTCATTTATGTTCGCCTGGTGTATGAGTACATTTCGTGCACGGAAATTTAATAGAAAAACAGAAATGAAATGAAATTCAACTAAGTCGGTCGGGCCTTTAACGACTCGAATCCAGCCATATCTACCAGGTGAGCATAAATGAGCAGAAGGCAAATGCATTGTTTGCTTATTAAATGTTGAGCAGCTGATTTTTGTTGACATTTCGCAAAGCGCCGTTTCAATAGCTTTTGTTTACACTTGAAATGCAAGTCCATTTTGTTTACATTCACAATTTAAATCCCAGCTAGCTTGTTTACTTGCTGTTCACTTATGCTTGCCTGGTGAATGATTACATCAAATGTGTGGAAATTAATAGAAAAAAAAACGAAAAAGGTGGCCGGACCGGGCCGGCAGTCGTTAAAAATATTGCCATCCAGATGATCTGCCTTCGATATATAACTTTTTATTTAAAAAAAAATTTATTTGGCTCACAAAATAAAGCCAAAATAAGTTGTTTGTTGTGGTTTAAGAAACATTTATTTTAAATCAAATATATTTTTAATGCAATAATATGTATAAGTTATATGTAATGGCTTGTTATAAAAATACACATATCAAATATTTGTGACTTAACATAATAAAAAAAATAATGTTTATGAACTAAAACAAGTCATTACTCGATCCTCGAAAAATATTGACAGAAGCGAACCAACAGATGGACACACTTTAATATCCGAATATTTAACACACTACATATAGCGGTCAAGAATTCAGAATGAGTTACAATTACAATTACGCCCTTGTGGTATACAATTTTTTATATAGACTACCATATAAAAAGCATGCCACATTCAATAAATTATTAACGATAAAAAAAATTAATTCATATCGCTGTCTATATACGATTTTTGAATATTATTTGCACATTTAATTTACATTCTCACAATTATTTTCCATATGCGTAGAAAATAAATGAAATTCAAAATAGAACAAAGGTTATTGATTTTGGGTGCTACAACTTGTAGGTTCTTGGATTTCTTCTGATTCGCATAACCTATTTATACACATATGTATACATACTCAGGAAAAAAAAAAACAAAACAAAAAAAAGAGCACGCGCTTGCTCTTTTAATCGAAAAAATGGCCACTGCTTCGGAAGTAGAAGAAAATTCTTAAACTAAGGGGGCTGCCACTCAAATCTCAGAATATTTTTGCCAAGCTTGGAGTGCGTCTGAAGGGATTCCACGAGCTGGACGAGACGCTGCCCACAAACCGTGTCTTCGTGGAGGTCTTCAGGCGCAGCTTCGGTTTGGTGGTGGTGCCGGTGGGGCTGGAGGAGCCCGACGAAACGCCCGAGGAGCTCGCTGCGGATAGCGTCGAAATAGAGCCCTTTGAGGAGAGTGGCTGTAATAGAATTGAAGGGATAGTTAGATTGTCCTTCTCATTACTCTCTCAAAGCCACTTGAACTTTATCTCACCTTCAAATAATTCCGATCCATAGGAGTTATGACTTTCAGCTCAAGGGCAGTGCCGCAAGATTGAATGAGTCGCACCACCTGTTGATGTGAATACCATTTGACATCCATGCCCGCAATTTCGACAATAAAGTCGCCCTCTTTAATGCCGCCCAGCTACAAAAGAATCACGAATAAGTGATATACGTAATGAGGATATTATGATATACTATAGTATGACTACTCACATCGGCCAATGAATTTATTTCGACATGGGCTATAATCACAGGCGCATCGCCGCGTACATGAAAACCGAAATTTTCCAACTCCTCCTTGTAGAGACTGCAGCCGGCCTCGTGACCCTCATCGGCTGTGGGGCAGTGGCAATGATAGCTGGTGCCATCGTGATACATCGCTGATCCCTTCTGAAGCCGCACGCAGCGCGGTGCGGTCCAGTGGCGACGTGCCGAGAATATAGCAATGGGGCCTAGACGCTTAAAGGGATCCTCCACTTTGTAAGACGTGAAATCGGGTCCAGTCAACGAGAGCGTGAACTTGGAACAGGCTACAAGAGTTTTTGTAATATTAGTTCAAGAGATTGAGACCCTTTTTTCACTCAAAGTTACCTTCGACTGTGCGTTCCACCAGATCGTAACATTCCTCAATATCCTTTGCCGGCGCTTCCATACAAAACTTTTCGTGCTCCTCTTGGGTTTTGAGATGTGCCTCCTTAATGACTTGGGTGAGCGATGTTTTGTTCTGCAACAAAAGTTTATTTCAATTTTAAATTGTCCTTAGTTCGAAGAAAGTCCGAAAGTGTGGTTACTTCGTTATTAGATCTACTTTTATTATTTTTACGTCTCCGTTAGTTGAGTATTCAACACACCCGCACTGTCACAAAATACTCACCTTCAGGTAACGGCACATGCGCTGCAGTCGCTGCGCCTCTTCGTGACTAGCCAATGCCTCTTTCAAATGGGTTCGCTTCACGACAACGATGCTGACGCTCTCCTCCTCGCACTCGCTGTTGGCCGCAGAGGCGCGCAGAGCCTCCCGCGCATTGCCAATGAAAGACTCGTTCGATGACGTGGCCTGACTCTTCTTGGTGCTCAGCGAGATGTTGTCGCCCGCATTGGCATCGATGCTGCGCGCCTCATAGTGATGAGCCAGAGCTGCAACGAGAGTGGGCTGTCAGTAACAGCAGCAACAACAACAACAACAACATCCATCCAAGCTACCAAAAGCGGCAAGCTGCGAGGTCAGTCGCTCAGTCAGTCGGCTGTCAACTCACCTTTGTAGAACTCGGCTTTAAGCGGCACCAGCCCAGCCCAGCATTCCGGCAGATAGGTGTGTGTGTCGTTCGCTTGAATATTTTTGTGCATCTCATTGTATTCGTGCGACAGCTGAGCAGCCTCGCCGGCCAAATCTCTGAAGAGCTATAACAGATACATGAAATGAATTTATGTAACTCATACATACTTGCATAATAACAATCATTGAAAGGGCAAAGGATAACACTAAACAATATTGTAATCTAGTGTACACATACGTATATGACCCGCACCCCTTAACTCTTTTAAAATCTTCATTTAATCATTAAAATTTGTAATCCCCTCTGGATGCAATGCATTTTCGGACTCTAGAGGTGATTTTAAACTGTATTTTTTTAAATTTTAAATCGCATTGCATTTGTCGCCTACACGAGAATTTAAGATAAAATAGGTTCTCACAATCAACTTACATGACTCGACTCCGTCAGCCCCAAGGCCTCGATCTGTAATTGCAGCTTCTCGAATAGACATTCCCGGGCTTGGGACAGCATCAGGGAGACCAAAACATCGAGCACCTGCGGCTTCAGATCCATTGATGGGGCATTGGTGAACGTATCATAGATGTGACGAAAGATTCCCGCAGCCCGTAGAAAACTGTCGACGGCCGCGTCCAGACCCCGCTCCGTGCTGCGATCGTGTCTAGCACCGATCTGTGTATATATGGCGCCCAGATTAAAGAGCGTGCAGGCCTTTTCGAAGGCGATGGTCCGCTGACACGAAGGTACTCCCGTCAACGAATCATACCACTCGAAGTAGACGCCCAGATTGCGATCGGGCGGAAAGAAACGTCGTTCCACGTAGTACAATAGATTGTAATAGCGGAAGAGCAGTGCAACGCCCTGCGCATCGCGCGAGGGTGTTTTCGAGGCCTACATTTGTAAATAATATTGCAGAACATAATAAGTATATTGAAGTTCGAATTCCAAATAACGCCGTCTTACCTGTCTTGTGTCTGTCATATCGGCAATAGCATCCATATATATCGAAGGCTCCTCACTGTAATGTTCCAGAATGAAGTCTGAAAACGGTTCCATGAAATTGATTTCCTTTGTCTCTTTTAGACCCAATGGTATCATTGGCATAACTCCATCGTGACTAGAATTATTGTCAAAAATTAAATCAAATTATTCGAGGAACTCAATTAGTTTATCTTCTATCGATCTATTCTATTCTATATCAATAAAATATAATGGTCGTTTGTCCCAGATGTAAAAATCCAATTCGATTATCAAGGCTAAAAAATCTATGTGTAAATAGAATACTTTGAATAAATATTAGAATTGAAAATTAATACTAGCTTGATTTATTTTAAAACTTGGAGGTTCTGTTATTTTCAGATCACAGATATCTTGACTATGCAATATGATGAATAAACCTTGGCCTTAAATCCATATATACTTTTGTTAGTTGTAGTAGATCTGAAAATAAGTTAACAGCCGAGTTATGGACAATATTGCAACTCGATTTTTTGAAAATATCCATCGAAGTTGTTCAAAAAGCTACCACGAAAATGTGAGCCCGTTCAGAACATTCCAACCTACCAGTATGCGAATGCAAGCTTTTAAAAGATGTTTTGTAATCCTGACATAGGCACATAGGCACCTAAATATATGAGCGTACATATACTATATATGTATAGATCATCGCATAGCTGCGGCTATCGGCAATTTTCGTGTCCGGCGAAGCTTGGACGCACCTTTTATGCGCCCGTCCAGAGTCGCGTAAAGCAAAACAAAGCTCTTTTCATAATTTTTGCTGTTGTTGTTGCTGTTGTTGTATTATAATTATTTTTCTGCTTTTTCAGTTTTTTCAGTTTTTAATTTAATGACTTTTTTCACTTTCTTTTTGTTGGGCGCGCTGTGATTTGCGTTCCACTTGATGGCGGAAAAAGGCGCTTGACCAGAAACTGATGCGCAAAAGTGGGGGTCCGCCCAAAACGTTCGGTTCGGTTCGTTTCCAGTACACGTGTGCACAGCAATGTATGTAAGTGCTTATAAAAAGATAGGTGCTACTACATATTTTTATATTTGCATGAATAAAAAGAAACTAATTTTGTACACGTTGCGAACGTAAAAAAATAACAAAATTAAATTGCCGCTACGGGTGGTCGTAACTCGACTGGCAAATAGTTCCTACTACAATAATATAACTTCGGCCAGCCAGTCAAGCAAAACTTACCTCTCGCTCTGATATATCTCCACTGAAGAATTCAGTTCGGCCAATTGCTCCTTCAGCAGCTGCAGATTTGAGTTTACAAAGCTCAGCTCCAGAGCGACAGTGTCGCGCAATTTTCGATTTGTGGTTGCCTGAAAAGAGGGGTTGATTGGGAGGCGGAAGGGGAGGAGTAATTTAAGGGTTTTGTTGAGATATATGTATTGCTGCTTTGGATAGCTGCTACATACCTTGTATAGATTCTCAGCTCCAGCGCGCAGGCGCAGCTCTTTGTTTATTTCCTGATTTAGTTTGCAACGTCGACTTTGCAGTTTTCCGCGGCAAGTGGCTGCCCTGGGATCGGAGCCCTGCAACGAAATTGGAGAGAAGTATTATGTTGAGTAAAAATTAATTCGATTTCATTAGTTTCAATGCTTCAGAAGAATACGTTGCAGATGAATTGTATTTAAAGTTCCTTCAGCCCTACCATCTACTATATGGGAACTTAACCTACAAATATGTGAGTTTTAAAAACTTATCATTTAAAGAAATACGCATACAAGTACATATACATACATACTCGTATATGTATATAAATAGTATAGGTATGAGCAAGATAACTGAAAATATGGTGGGGCGCTTTTCGCTGGAATTTCTCAAATGGCGGCCAATGCATCTTTTCGACTGCTATAATTAATTTCTTCTTCTTATATGCTAACGTCACATGTTAAAAAGGGCTGACTTAGCCTAGAACTAGTTAACATAGGGAGGGCGGGATGCTAGTACGAGCAGCGCTCTGCCAGTTAACATTACTCGCTAACAGCTATTGGCTTCAGCTGTGCGTTGCCAGATCAACAATAACAGAGTGAGGGAGTTCGGTGTTTCGTCTACGAGACGAAGGAAATGACATATGCATTGTGTTTTGCGAGTAATTGGATTAATAATGATTGGCTAACTGATCAACAAAGCAGCAGTCCGTCATCCTTAGACAAGATAGATAGGGGGGTAAAGAAGACCGATAGAGGACTGGTTTAGTGCGTTTAAATATGATCGATTTAACAATCAACTAAACAAAAATATAGATATAGGGGACGAAAATAAGTCACTTTTCCCAATAAATAAATCGTTTGATATAATTTATTCATTATTAAATATCCTTCTGCATTAACTGCTGCTTATAGGCGTTTCTTTGTGGACGACAGATCCCTAGAAGCTATGATGACCGCAGAGCTTCTGCACAAAAAGTTTATTGACTTTTTGATTTGAAAGAACGAACAAAAAATACAATATACGAGTAAAAAGTAATGTACACACTATGCGGCATACAAATATGTAACTTTGTTTATTTAAATATTATTGTAAGGCAACGAATGGATGCATTACATGATGGGGGCATCAAATGCTTAGAATGCAGCACAGCGTTTCAGGCGCCCGCAAGTTACAAAGTTGTTGCAACTCGAGACTTGCGCAAACAACAGCAGCAGCAACAACAGTACCTGAGGCCAATGTGCCAGACCCGGGCTCATTTAGTGAGCCGTCATCTAGCCGTCTAGTTCGCTTGAACCATCATAGGCATGGCGGGCTTAGCTGTTGGGTCATTATTATGCATCCAACGCCAACGCCAACGCAGCGTGAAAAGAACATAAAAAACGGAAGTAGGAAGTCATTGTACATTTTGTTGTTTTCGTAGCTGTGCTGTTGGTGTTGTTGTTGCTACTTTGTTTCCAACGTCTTGTCACGCCGAACACATCCAGCCAAAGTCAACTTGAAACTGCATTACGATCCAAAGTTCTCGTGCCGTGCTACGACGAACGAACGATACTCGTTCCTACTCGCGCCAAGGGGGTACTTCAAAAATATTGTTTTGTATGCTTCGCTGCTAATTTGCCATTGCAGTCACATGGCATAAGCGAACGATGAAGCCGCATGCGATGGAGACAGACAAACAGACAGACAGCGAGACAGACACACCGTGAAGTGCACAGTGGAACCCGTAATCATGTCATGTAACCCGAAATGGGCCCCACCGACACGAAGGGATGCTTGCAAGAGTCCAGATTTGGGGGAAATTTATATTAAAAAGGTGCTGCAAAATGTATGCGAACATTGTAAAACCATTTACCGAAAAGTTTCAGGGTATATGGTTTGCGGGTGTGCAAGTTTGTACCAATCAGAAAAAAGAATGGTAATGGAGTCGTGATGGCTACAAAGATGATCGGCATGATGAGATGATTTCGATTTAATACCAAACCACATAGTGTTCCTTTTTTACCCCACTTTTAAGCCGAATTTTGCAAAGCTACTAGTTCTATTATTCAGTGTGTAAACAGTTTAGGGATCTATAAAGGTTTATTTAAAAAAATATATAATTAGATATTATAATTTTTGGTTTTTAAGATTATAATCAGAAGGAAAAAGAAAATTCACAGAACACCTGAAATTCGTACAGTTCGATATGAAATTCGGGCCACGGTGTGAAGGCGACGACGACGACGACGGCGCTTATCGGAGTACACTTAACCTTAGCTGGAATTGCGTCGGTTCTATGGCCTTAGGCGGTGGCAATGGGTGCCCAGCCAATGACAGACAGCGTTGGAGCAGAAGCAGTAAAAACAGTCAAGGAGTACACCAGCGACAACTCCAGCTCTAGCTCTAGCACCACCACAAGCAACAACAACAACAACAGAATGATGTCTTAAAGACCACCTAGAAATGATTGCTGGTTGACTGTCTTGGTTAGGTTTTTGCATCAAACACGGCTCAAAGTCCAGAGCCAATGTGAAGAAAAATAAGGCTGAATAAAAAGTTCTCCAATGTTTAGTTCGGCTGCTTCCCACCAACATACCCTTTACTGTCAGAAATAGAAATAATACATATTCCATCATAAACGATTCATCCTATTTGGTTATCTCTAATCTAAAAACTTTTTTAATGAAATTAGAACTGTTTCAAAATCCGTCATTTATGGTCTTAAAGTTATTTTTGAACCAGTTATCCTTAATAGTATTCTGTTGTCAAAAATACATTTATCAATAAAATACAGACAACATATGACTCAAAATCTCAACATCCTTCAACTATAGTCTTATATTGTCTATAAGAACTTTTTCATTTTAATATAAAAAAAAAAAAAAAAAAAACACGGAGTTCATCTGTTCAGATCAAAAACATTATCTGCCTGAGAAGATTTAGCAAAAAGTTTATGGGTTCGACAACTCCTCCTAATAATGCAATTGCTTGGAAAGAAAGTAGCATAATATCTGGCATTCTATGTTTTGCATACTCGCATGGCCAACTCTATGTACCCTCTGACTTGGAAGGAAGGGTATTAAGAAGAGAAGAGCAGTGCAGTCAGTTAAAGGCGTCTTGACTTGACTGGCGTCGCCAGACAGAAATAACCCAGTTTACATGGGCATGGCCAGAGAGCGAGAATCAGACGAGGACGGAGATGGAGTTGGAGACAGAGGCCCAGTCCAAGCCAAAGGCAGAATCATAGCAGGGGAGTTGAGGCTGAGGCCGGGGCCGGGGCTGGATGCAGGCTGATGTTGCCATTAAATTCAGTCTGACATGTGCAAATCATAAATGTGGGCACTGTGCGGTTTGGATGGAACTTAACCTTGAATCGGAAGGTTAGACCAATCATGAGGCTTACACTCTTAATGTTGAGTGGACCGGGCAGGCGGCAGCGATGTGCTGCATAGACAGACTTTTATGTATATATTGATATACTTGTATGTATGTATGCACATAAAGGTAGATACTGTCGTGCTAATTTGTCTTCAACAATCTCTCTAGTTTTCATTGCAGTTTTTGAAATATCTAAGCAACTCAGTGTTATTTTCAGATCAATTGCTTGCTCACAACGTATCCGATTTTCTGCTCATAGCTATGGCAGTTGGAGAAGGAGTGTTGTCCATTATTGGAGCGTACATAGGCTTTGGCTCGCTGCTGCTGCTGCTGCTGTTGTGCTTTGTTTTGTTTTGTTTTGTTTGGAGCGTCGTAGTTGCGTGTTTTGCATAATTAAAAGCGCCACATGACAGACACGGAGTCGGAGTCAGTGGCAGTGGCAGAGGCAGGGCCGTGATCGCGACCACTGCCGAGGGTCGGGGGCAGGAACTTGGCAGCATGTAGCGTGGGTTTGCGGCCAACTATCGTTGGATTGGCAAGGCTTGGCGTTGAATTTAAACATTGGGAATGCCTAATGGCTGAGAAGCAGCTTATTTTTAACCACATACTTATATACTATTTACTCGTACATACTTGTATGTATTCCAACAAATACAAAAAGCTTTTAATATTTTATATATATGACACGCAAGTTGTATTGCTGCGTGTCTATTTTCCTTTAAGAGACACAGCTTAGAATTATTAAATATGTACATATGTATGTCAATCAATAAAATACAAAACCGGAATCAACATTAAAACTTCTGGGTGATATAAAATTAGATCCCCCTCCTCTAGTGACTAGAATAAAATGATGGACCCGCCAGTAACTAAATGTGCGCTCACAGCTCATAAGGAAATTTGTCCGAATCCTGGCATTATCTAAAAAGTGAACATAAATATTGCTAACAAATTACATCCTATTCTTCTATTGAAGTATTTAAACTAAGATAACATTGAATTATAATCCAGATGAAAATGTTAACCGGCAAGTGGCCAAAAGAGCTCAAAGAGCTAATTTGAATGAGGCGATAATTATTGCATAATTGATGAAATTGATGATTGATGTTTCTTCTTATTAACAATGTAATTTTCAAGATGAAGAATATCTTAAAACAAGTGTATGATGTTTCAATTAGGAAATTAGAAAAAGACAGTATGCTCTTGTATCCAAGGAAACTTCCGGCACTGTGCCCATAGCAGAAGCCAAAAGAAGGAGTAGAAAAGGGAACCCCTCTCCTGCACTTTGTGGGGGAAGTATTAGAGTAAAATTGATTCCCTAATAACTATTCTTGCCGATTGGCCGATTTGGATGACATTTGAAATAAAGGTAGAGAAGAATAGATGTGCAGTATTGTCGAAATTGTATCGATTTCTCTTCTCGTGCTGATTAGCTACTATTACAATTCTTTCATATGTATCATATGCTTGTAAAGTGTTAATTCGATCAAGTTTGAATGAATTATATGGTCACTGAGACAATAATAATTAGGGAGAACTTCATTTTATTGGAGGAGGATTAACTAATGTCTTGTTATTAGTTTATTCATACCAAGGGCCTTGCGTACTGGATGGAGTTCATAAATTAGATACCACCTGAGTGTTATTGTTTTTGTTCGTGCCGACAATAATGGACGGCCAATGAACTTGCCCAGGCATTGGACATGGCACAAACAAAATCTTGTTATTACAATTTTTACAA